ATAAAAGGCCACTCTAAAATGTGAAGTTTGTCACACAACACAATGCCACAGATGTCTCAAGTTTTGAGAGAGCGTGCAATTGTCATGCTGACTGCAGGAATGTCCACCAGAGCGGTGGCCAGATAATTGAATGTTCATTTCTTTACCATAAGCCACCTCCAACGTTGTTTTAGAGAATTTGGTAGTACGTTCAAGCGGCCTCACAATCGCAGACCAAGTGTAACCATGCCAGTCCAGGTCCTCCACATCTGGCTTCTTCACCTGTTGGATCGTCTGAGACCAGCCACCTGAACAGCTGATGAAACTGTTGGTTTGCACAACCAAAGAATTTCTGCACAAACTATCAGAAATTGCTCACCTTCGATGGCCACTGACACGCTGGAGAAGTGTGCTCTTCACGGATGAATCCCAATTTCAACTGTACTGGGCAGATGGCAGACAGCATATATGGCGCCGTGTGGGTGAGTGGTTTGCTGATGTCAACGTTGTGAACAGAGTGCCCCCATGGTGGCGGTGGGGTTATGGTATGGGCAGGCTTAAGCTACGGACAACGAACACAATTGCATTTTATCTATGGCAATTTGAATGCACAGAGATACCGTGATGAGATCCTGAGGCCATCACCTCATGTTTCAGCATGATAATGCATGGCCCCATGTCGCAAGGATCTGTACACAATTCCTGGACGCTGAAAATATCCCAGTTCTTCTGTGGCCTGCATACTCACCAGACATGTCACCCATTGAGCATGTTTGGGATGCTCTGGATCGACGTGTACGAGAGCGTGTTCCAGTTCCCGCCAATATCTAGCAACTTCGCACAGCCATTGAAGAGGAGTGGGACAACATTCCACAGGCCACAATCAACAGCCTGATCAACTCTATGCGAAGGAGATGTGGCGCGCTGCATGAGGCAAATGGTGGTCACACCAGATACTGACTGGTTTTCTGATCCAAGCCCCTACCTTTTTTTTAAAGGTATCTGTGACCAACAGATGCATATCTGTATTCCCAGTCATGTGAAATCCATAGCGTAGGGTAGGGCCTAATTAATATATTTCAATTGACTGATTTACTTATATGAACAGTAACTCAGTAAAACCTTTGAAATTGTTGCATGTTGAGTTTATATTTTTGTTCACTGTACAATACGAATTGTAATTTGTAACATATCATACGAAATGGGTGATGGACATCCCCAAATTAATACATACCATACGAAACGTAACATATACTAAATGGACAGTCTCGGATTTACATACAGAATAATACGAAATGCTCTGAGACCAGGTTGGACAGTGTTGTCAGATCTGATGTCAGTCAAAGCTCAAACAAGACCAGACTCCTGCCTATTTCCCCGGCAACTACAAGTGTGGCAATTGTACCCAATGCCAGTACACCAGATGTATGAAAAGTTTCTCGCAGTGGTGGAAAAAGTACCCAATTGTCATACTTGAATAAAAGTATAGATACCTTAATAGAAAGTTGCTCAAGTAAAAGTGAAAGTCACCCAGTAAAATACTACTTGAGTAAAAGTCTAAAAGTATTTGGTTTTAAATATACTTAAGTATCAAAAGTAAATGTAATTGCTAAAATATACTTAAGTATCAAAAGTAAAAGTATAAATAATTTCAAATTCCTTATATTAAGCTAAGCAGACGGCACAATTTTCTTGTTTTTAAAATGTACGGATAGCCAGGGGCACACTCCAACACTCAGACATTATTTACAAAATATGCATTTGTGTTTAGTGAGTCCGCCACAAAGGAGGGGTTCGTGCTGATTGTACGGAGATTGTGACAGCCGGTTAAATGGCATCCCTTGAGAAGGCAAGAACAAAATGTACAGTGGGGAGAACAAGTATTTGATACACTGCCGATTTTGCAGGTTTTCCTACTTACAAAGCATGTAGAGGTCTGTCATTTTTTATCATAGGTACACTTCAACTGTGAGAGACGGAATCTAAAACAAAAATCCAGAAAATCACATTGTATGATTTTTAAGTAATTAATTTGCATTTTATTGCATGACATAAGTATTTGATACATCAGAAAAGCAGAACTTAATATTTGGTACAGAAACCTTTGTTTGCAATTACACTGCAGCAGGGATTTTGGCCCACTCCTCCATACAGACCTTCTCCAGATCCTTCAGGTTTCGGGGCTGTCGCTGGGCAATACGGACTTTCAGCTCCCTACAAAGATTTTCTATTGGGTTCAGGTCTGGAGACTGGCTATGCCACTCCAGGACCTTGAGATGCTTCTTATGGAGCCACTCCTTAGTTGCCCTGGCTGTGTGTTTCGGGTCGTTGTCATGCTGGAAGACCCAGCCACGACCCATCTTCAATGCTCTTACTGAGGGAAGGAGGTTGTTGGCCAAGATCTCGCGATACATGGCCCCATCCATCCTCCCCTCAATACGGTGCAGTCGTCCTGTCCCCTTTGCAGAAAAGCATCGCCAAAGAATGATGTTTCCACCTCCATGCTTCACGGTTCGGATGGTGTTCTTGGGGTTGTACTCATCCTTCTTCTTCCTCCAAACATGGCTAGTGGAGTTTAGACCAAAAAGCTCTATTTTTGTCTCATCAGACCACATTACCTTCTCCCATTCCTCCTCTGGATCATCTAGATGGTCATTGGCAAACTTCAGACGGGCCTGGACATGCGCTGGCTTGAGCAGGGGGACCTTGCGTGTGCTGCAGGATTTTAATCCATGACGGCGTAGTGTGTTACTAATGGTTTTCTTTGAGACTGTGGTCCCAGCTCTCTTCAGGTCATTGACCAGGTCCTGCCGTGTAGTTCTGGGCTGATCCCTCACCTTCCTCATGATCATTGATGCCCCACAAAGTGAGATATTGCATGGAGCCCCAGACCGAGGGTGATTGACCATCATCTTGAACTTCTTCCATTTTCTAATAATTGCGCCAACAGTTGTTGCCTTCTCACCAAGCTGCTTGCCTATTGTCCTGTAGCCCATCCCAGCCTTATGCAGGTCTACAATTTTATCCCTGATGTCCTTACACAGCTCTCTGCTCTTGGCCATTGTGGAGAGGTTGGAGTCTGTTTGATTGAGTGTGTGGACAGGTGTCTTTTATACAGGTAACGAGTTCAAACAGGTGCAGTTAATACAGGTAATGAGTGGAGAACAGGAGGGCTTCTTAAAGAAAAACTAACAGGTCTGTGAGAGCCGGAATTCTTACTGGTTGGTAGGTGATCAAATACTTATGTCATGCAATAAAATGCAAATTAATTACTTAAAAATCATACAATGTGATTTTCTGGATTTTTGTTTTAGATTCTGTCTCTCACAGTTGAAGTGTACCTATGATAAAAATTACAGACCTCTACATGCTTTGTAAGTAGGAAAACCTGCAAAGTCGGGAGTGTATCAAATACTTGTTCTCCCCACTGTATGTCAGGAGAAGTGCAGTATTATCATAAGGAGACGTATACTTGGAATACGTAGCAGGAATGGAGGGAAAAAGGGAGGCAGAGGAGGTCTAAGAGAGAGAGGGAGGAAGAGCTTGAGTCGGTTAACAATGGCGAAAAAAGGGAGATGGTTTGTTAAAGAAGAATGGTAGAAAGTATAAGCAGAGTGAGCTGAAGACAGGAGGAGAAATGGAAGTGAATGAGGGCGAAATATCGGAGGATGTAGGTGTGGTGAAGTTCTCGGAGCCTGAGGCTTGCACTGAGGGTCAGGATAAAGATGTGTCTGTGACCGTAGGTTTTTGGAAAAAGTGGACCCTTGCCTTTTGGCTGATCCGTTTGTGGTTTCAGCATGGGTGAAAACAGAGTTGGGTGAGTGGAATCGGTGAGGGTAACCAGAAGTGGTCTGGTGATAATTATTTGTTTCTGCTGGTCAGAGGGAGCAGGCGCTCCGCGTTAAACGAATGGGGGCAAGAGATGTGAATTGTTTTGCGCTCAAGAAAAGGGCGCCATTGAAAGGAGTGATTACTGGGGTAGCAGTACATGTAAAAGTTGACCAACTCCCGGTGTTTGTGATGCTCGTCGTTTGGTGCGACGCAGACAGGGTGGCGTGAGTGGTGAAACAGAAGAGTCATTGTCTGTTCTTTTGAGTTTTGATGTTGAGTCTTTGCCCTACAAAGTGATGTTAGGATATATAAGTTATCCTGTACGAGCTTTTGTGCCGAATACATTACGTTGTTACAGGTGAAGCTTATGGGCATGTGGCAGCAGTGTGTAGGAGGGAGGTTCCTAGGTGTGAGAAGTGTGCAGAAGGGCATGAGACAAAGGAATGTGTAGCATTGGGGAAAGTAGTGGTATGTGTTAATTGTAGGGGTGCCCATGGGGCCGGGGATCAGAAATGTCCCGTGCGAGAGAGGCAGGTTGAGGTTTCCAGGGTTAGAGTAGTGTGGAAGTTGACATATGCTGAGGCAGTGAAGAAAATAGAGGAAGATGGGTCAAGGGGGAGGGATCATGAGAGGATTGGTGTGAGTAGTAAATCTGTACCAGTACAGAGGGATAGGTCAACAAGTGATATATGTTTCAGTAAGATTGGATTTTTAGCATTTATAGCAATGGTTATCAACTGTACTGCAGGGATGGAACGTAAGTCGCAGAAAATTGCGGTTGTGGTGGCAGCTGCAGAGAGGTATTTGGGTGTGCGAGACTTGACATCAGAAGAGTTACAGGGTGTGTTTAGTGGTGGTGTCCCATCCTTTCAGGTTGTTGGCCTGAGGTAGGACTAAATAGATTTAAATAGTGGAGTAGGGTGGTTTTATTTTTTTGTGAGTGTAGTGTTAGATGGTAAGGTATTTGTTTATTTATTTATTATTTTTTTCAAGCAAAGTATAATGTGATCTATGCGATTCACTGCCCGTGCGGGTTATTTTGTGTAGGAGAGACCTCAAGAGAGTTACACACTAGAATGTGTGAGCACCGAAGTGCCATTCGAGGTGCTGACCCCAACAGCCCAGAGGCCCTCCATTTCATTTCCCCATAGGCTTTTTGCGAACGAGCCATGGCAGCGTTAGTGCCTACAAAAAGACGCCATTACTATTGCTCAAACTCATTCCATGGATGGCCTAGTGTCTGCTGATTATTAAAGCCATAATAAACTACAAATTCCACGATGCTGCATCTTGATCTTCAAAACTGGAAAGTACGGAACACTGAAACGAGTTTACTTACTTTCATTTTCACTTTTTGTGCTGACTAACTGCGGCTGTTTTCCGCGTTGTGCACTATTAGACATTTAGGATAATCGCGCATTCTTTCAACTATTTAGTTGTTGCCTATTATTGCATTGAAACGGGTATTCTTTGACTATCAAATAAATATATTTCCATCACACAAGATGACTTCCATAGACATTCGCCCGGAGTCCAAGAAGATGGTAGGTTGTCAATTTAAATAGTGTAATAACAAACAGAAGCCAGGTAACTTATCAAATGTAACCTAGAATAATTAATGGCTGTAGCCTACCAATATCATGTGTGTTTAGATAACTCACCAGCCCTGATAATCGTCAAGGCGTTTTGATAATTAGACCAACAAAAGAGCCAGGTGAGGTCACATCAGGTGACCTTACCCCGGCTATGATAGTCAGATAGTCAGGTGTAAAGTAGAGACAGTGGGAGTTGGGTTTGCTGCTGTGACTTGAATACGGTTTCATTTACAAAAATAAATACATCGTATTTCTTTGGTTTCAATTTCGTAGGTCGATGACTTCTGCACTCAGCTCGCTAAAGAGGTAACTGCCATATTTATTTTGATAGTCTAGTAAGCACATTTTAGATGGTAATCATGACTATGTCCATCTTTGGTAACTTATGTATTTCATGTGCGTTATAGGCAGAGACCTTGGTCACATCATTCTTCCCTCAGAAGATTGCAGAGATGGAGATGATATTGAAGGTATGGACAGATGTGAGGCCATGAAAAACACAAGCACACCTTTCGATCTCAGTCCAAATACATTGACACAATGCTATTGTAAGTAGGCAAATACGAGCTGTTTGTCAATGCTTTGTTTATAATTCATACCCTTTGAAATGGTCCCCAGAAATCCTTTAGCACTGATGGCCTGGCAGCTCTGAAGTCACCTCTGGACATCCCAATACCAGACCCAGCTAAAGAAGAGGCAAAGAGAAAGAAGAAAGAGGAGGTCCAGACATTTCACTAATTCAGCATTCTATCATGATTAACCCCTTGGATTACATTGGAATCATTCAAAGTAGTATCAACCATGCATACGGGCACGTGGCTGAATCTTGCAAATCCTTTACCCCATTCCTCTTTTCACTTTTTTTGTCAGAAAGAGGCAAAGGAAGGTAAGAAAGACAAGGACGTCGAGAAAGAAGATGAAGACGCAGGTAAACAAGACACAATACCACCGATGTACCACCACGGTTAGATGTTAAATTGCCCCCAATCCTAATCTTAAAAACGTCCTCCAGAGATTTTTTCACTTTTACTGTTGAAAAGCGATATCCCCACTTGTGCTATGTCAAGACATACACTACCGTTCAAAAGTTTGGGGTCACTTAGAAATGTCCTTGTTTTCGAAAGAAAAGCAATTTTTTCGGCCATTAAAATAACATCAAATTGATCAGAAATACAGTGTAGACATTGTTAATGTTGTAAATGGCTATTATAGCTGGAAACGGCTGTTTTTTTATGGAATATCTACATAGGCTTACAGAGGCCCATTATCAGCAACCATCAGTCCTGTGTTCCAATGGCACGTTGTGTTTGCTAATCCAAGTTTATCATTTTAAAAGGCTAATTGATAATTAGAAAACCATTTTGCAATTATGTTAGCACAGCTGAAAACTGTTGTGCTGATTAAAGAATTAATAAAACTAGCCTTCTTGAGACTAGTTGAGTATCTGGAGCATCAGCAATTGTGGGTTCTACCTTTTAACCATTAGAGGGGACACACAAATCAAATCTTAGATCAGTGCATTGGGATAGCTTCATCCTACTTTGGATTTTCTCATGGTGTTTCTCCCTAGGGCCTTCTTGTGGTCCAATCCCTTGCAACGAGAGAGTGGAAAGTCTTCTGAAGGAGATCAAGCCTCAGATCCAGATACTGAAGGAGAAACTCAACACCGTCAGTCAGCCCTTTGTCTCTATTACTCTGTATTGGCCAAACTGTTATTTTACATCTAAGATTCACTAGCACATCTCTATTGCTAAATAGGTGAGAAGGCATGTGAATTGTAAGGTAAGTGTGTAGAGAAATACATAAATACTATAATCTCTTGCTCTGGCAGGTGTCAATGTGGGTGCAACTTCAGATTCCCAAAATTGAAGATGGGAACAACTTTGGGGTAGCTGTTCAGGTCAGTCTTATGACTTTCTGAGAATAATAAGATATTATTGTCATATCTGTTATACATTGATATATATTATAGTCATACCTCAGTTATATTATGTTTGTTACCTTTATAGGCCTATGTTCATGAATGTTGTTCCACAGGAAAAAGTGTTTGAATTGTTGACCAATACTCGCACAAAGATCGAGGGATTCCAGACACAGATCTCAAAGTAAGAGACTTAGACCAAAATATCAAATCATTACAATTAGTTGTGTAATTACTCTTTACCTACATACTGTCTAATTAGTTATGTAATCAATGTGTTAATGTGACTAACACACACCTTCATTATTCGTGATATGTTGTCAGGTACTACAGTGAGAGAGGGGATGCTGTTGACAAGGCCTCAAAAGAGCCACACGTGGTTAGTATCCCTCTGTGTTTTGTGTGTGTGTGCATGTACATGCATGTGCTCACTTTCGATGGTGTGTGTGTGTTAACCATATTGCGTGTACTTATACCTCAAGGGAGACTACAGGCAGCTGGTGCATGAGCTGGACCAGTACCAGTACTGTGAGCTGCGCATCGTGGTTCTGGAGATCCGCAACACTTATGTAAGCCAAGATGCCTTATGTATCATTCATTTTTTCCCTTCATTAGAGATCAAGTGCTCAGCATCCCCATAATGTTCAACCCTAAGTTGAATAACCTTTACCAGTGTGAAGAAGTATTAACCTCAAAGAGACCTCAAGTTGTCATCGGAAACCAAACCCTGTTAACAAGTGAACAAATTGATTGAGTCAATAATTTACAATGCCTCTCCTGCTATTTGCATTGTACTTACCTACCCTGACATCTTCCACTGTTTGATGCCCTTGTTGTCATGAAAGGATGGTGTAAGTGATGATGATGAAATACTTTCAGTGATGTAATTACCCTGCTATTTCTGTCACCCACTCACCAGGCCGTGCTGTTGGACATCATCAACAAGAACTATGACAAGATCAAGAAGCCCAGAGGGGACTGTAAAGCCCTCATCTACTGATCAACTGACTGTCGTATGTGCACTGGAGACAGCAATACACACATACTCCTACTCAACCATTCACTGGTTATGATACAAATCGTGTAGTGTAACATGTTCATTGATTGTTGGGTAACTGAATACTTTAGACAGTTCATTTAAAAACGTTTTCATTATTCATCAATGATAAAAAATAACCCTGCTGTATTACACAATCATTTTTATTCAGATTTCAAAATAAAGCAGTGATAACTGACATAACATGAAGTGAGTTGTGCTTTTTTGCATCAAGGTGAGATTTGAAAGTATTTTAATATTTTGCTTAGGAAACATGATGTGAAAAGTTTGAGATTTTACTCAATCATGTTGTAATGTACATCATGTGTACATCATGTGGTTCCTGTTATCATCCAATTCAATCGTCTTGGTGTTAGGAGTTATCCCATTGAATATAAAGCACCAGAAAAGCACGAACAAAAATTATAACTATTACAGTTTTTATAAAATATCAAGCAGAGCCTTTTTTGCTGTGGAGTGTCATCCATTCTTATCCAAAGACATCAATCCTTTGGTCGGTGCCTCCACATGTCATGGACATCTCTCTCACTGCTCTCTGAGTGGGGGTGAGAAGTCCCTCTCCAGGCCACCAAGGCCAGCACCAGCTTGTTTGCAGCGTTACAAGCCCTGCTACAGCCCCCTCCAGCCCAGACAGCCTAGAGCTCCCCCCAGCAGCTGGGAGGGGAACTGTGGTAAGTGAGCCAGCAGACAGAGCAGCATGAACAGCCACAGGCCCAGCAGGGGGAGACAGAGCAGGAAGAGCAGGCCCCATGGGGCCCTCCCAGGGCCAGGTAGGGCCCCAATATGGCAGTCTCCTCGGCCAGGAGCAGGCAGCAGAGGCAGAGGAGGAGGGTGTCCTCTGAGACCTCCCAGCCTCGCCACAGCATGCCCGATTTCAGGCAGGAGGCCTTGCTCTCGCCCTCATGGAGCAAGAGTAAGGACTGCCCTGTGACACTGGCTCCCTGGCCCAGATTCAGGCCCCCATCTGGGCTAGCAGGCATGGGCTTGTAGCAGCTACCTGTTGCGTTCTCCAGCAGAGTCAGGAGATGGTGACAGCATCACCACAGCGCTCCCATGACAGCTATCCGTGGGAGGTGGCGAAGGGAGAGAGAGGGGGATCAACGGATGGAGAAGAGGAAGATGAAGGAGCCTGTGAAGACACAGGCCCAACCCCAGCACGATCACAGGGACATCCTGAGAGAGAATTCAAAGCAGACTTATACAGTAAATGTAAGATGGCTATAAAGCTCAGGACAGAACTAGATGGTATGGATACTGGGTGAATATTATCTGTGTGAAGTCAGGTAGCATAAACAATACATTCATTATCACAAACCAACAATAAGAGAGAAAGAATGTAACTTTTACAGTGAGGGAAAAAAGTATTTGATCCCCTGCTGATTTTGTACGTTTACCCACTGACAAAAAAATGATCAGTCTATAATTTTAATGGTAGGTTTATTTGAACAGTGAGAGACAGAATAACAACAACAAAATCCAGAAAAACGCATGTCAAAAATGTTATAAATTGATTTGCGTTTTAATGAGGGAAATAAGTATTTGACCCCCTCTCAATCAGAAAGATTTCTGGCTCTCCAGGTGTCTTTTATACAGGTAACGAGCTGAGATTAGGAGCACACTCTTAAAGGTAGTGCTCCTAATCTCAGTTTGTTACCTGTATAAAAGACACCTGTCCACAGAAGCAATCAATCAATCAGATTCCAAACTCTCCACCATGGCCAAGACCAAAGAGCTCTCCAAGGATGTCAGGGACAAGATTGTAGACCTACACAAGGCTGGAATGGGCTACAAGACCATCGCCAAGCAGCTTGGTGAGAAGGTGACAACAGTTGGTGTGATTATTCGCAAATGGAAGAAACACAAAAGAACTGTCAATCTCCCTCGGCCTGGGGCTCCATGCAAGATCTCACCTCGTGGAGTTGCAATGATCATGAGAACGATGAGGAATCAGCCCAGAACTACACGGGAGGATCTTGTCAATGATCTCAAGGCAGCTAGGACCATAGTCACCAAGAAAACAATTGGTAACACACTACGCCGTGAAGGACTGAAATCCTGCAGCGCCCGCAAGGTCCCCCTGCTCAAGAAAGCACATATACATGCCCGTCTGAAGTTTGCCAATGAACATCTGAATGATTCAGAGGAGAACTGGGTGAAAGTGTTGTGGTCAGATGAGACCAAAATCGAGCTCTTTGGCATCAACTCAACTTGCCGTGTTTGGAGGAGGAGGAGCTGCCTATGACCCAAAACACCATCCCCACCGTCAAACATGAAGGTGGAAACATTATGCTTTGGGCGTGTTTTCTGCTAGGGGACAGGACAACTCACCGCATCAAAGGGACGATGGAACGGCGCCATGTACCGTCAATCTTGGGTGAGAACCTCCTTCCCTCAGCCAGGGCTTTGAAAATGGGTCGTGGATGGGTATTCCAGCATGACAATGACCCAAACACACGGCCAAGGCAACAATGGAGTGGCTCAAGAAGAAGCACATTAAGGTCCTGGAGTGGCCTAGCCAGTCTCCAGACCTTAATCCCATAGAAAATCTGTGGAGGGAGCTGAAGGTTCGAGTTGCCAAACATCAAGCTCGAAACCTTAATGACTTGGAGAAGATCTGCAAAGAGGAGTGGGACAAAATCCCTCCTGAGATGTGTGCAAACCTGGTGGCCAACTACAAGAAACATCTGACCTCTGTGATTGCCAACAAGGGTTTTGCCACCAAGTACTAAGTCATGTTTTGCAGAGGGGTCAAATACTTATTTCCCTCATTAAAATGCAAATCAATTTATAACATTTTTGACATGCGTTTTTCTGGATTTTTTTGTTGTTATTCTGTCTCTCACTGTTCAAATAAACCTACCATTAAAATTATAGACTGATCATGTCTTTGTCAGTGGGCAAACGTACAAAATCAGCAGGGGATCAAATACTTTTTTCCCTCACTGTATCTACTCTCTCCAATATTCTATATCATGCTCATGCCCATTGAATCTCCATAATACTGGTCCAAACAGAACCACAACAAGAGGTGAAAATGGTGTCTGAATATGGCACTACCAAGCAGTCCAGCCCAAAGGTCTGTCACAACCACCAGAACTGTGTTGAGGAACATCATGACGAGCTTCCCTGGTCGGCTCTGTTCCTTAGCCAATGGTGTAGTTTCTTTATGTTCATTTTCTATTGTTCCATTTGATTTGTTTTCAATCTTTCGGTCCATTGTTTTTATTCACTTTTCTTTTGATATTTTGTATCATCCTCTTCCTACCTCTCCTTGTTGGTCGAGAGTGTACTCTGTTATGGAGTATGTACTGTAACTGTATCTGTTCAGTGCTGTGCTGTACACTCCAGTGTTCCCTCTCCTTTATCTCTGTGGCTGTCATCTTGAGATAGGCTATTGTCCAGAGAAGCGCACCGGCCATCACTGTGAGTAGTAGCCTATGGCTTCATCTTCATCATTAGTTGAGTCAGTGTGCCACTGGAAATTGTATTTAGTAGCCTACTGTAGCCTATAAAATATACAGTGCATTCGGAAAGTATTCAGACCCCTTCCCTTTTTCCACATTTTGTTATGTTACAGCCTTATTCTCAAATTGATTAAATAAATAAAAAATCCTCATCAATCTACACACAATACCCCATAATGAAAAAGCAAAAACAGGTTTTTAGAATTTTTGAAAATGTATTAAAAACCAGAAATACCTAATTTACATAAGTATTCAGACCCTTTGCTGTGAGACTCGAAATTAAGCTCAGGTGCATCCTGTTTCCATTGATGATCCTTGAGATGTTTCTACAACTTGATTGGAGTCCACCTGTGGTAAATTTAATTGATTGGACATGATTTGTAAAAGCACACACCTGTCTATTTAAGGTCCCACAGTTGACAGTGCATGTCAGAGCAAAAACCAAGCCAAGGAATTGTCTGTAGAGCTCCGAGCCAGGATTATGTCGAGGCACAGATCTGGGGAAGGGTACCAAAACATTTCTGCAGCATTAAAGGTCCCCAAGAACACAGTGGCCTCCATCATTCTTAAATGGAAGAAGTTTGGAACCACCAAGACTCTTCCTGCCGCACTGCCAAACTGAGCAATCGGGGGAGAAGGGCCTTCGTCAGGGAGGTGACCAAGAACCCGATGGTCACTTTGACAGAGCTCCAGAGTTCCAGAAGGACAACCATCTCTGCAGCGCTCCACCAATCAGGCCTTTATGGTAGAGTGGCCAGATGGAAGCCACCCCTCAGGAAAAGGCACATGACAGCCCGCTTGGAATTTGCCAAAGGTCACCTAAAGACTCTCAGACCATGAGAAACAAGATTCTCTGGTCTGATGAAACCAAGATTGAACTATTTGGCCTGAATGCCAAGCGTCACGTCCAGAGGAAACCTGGCACCATTCCTACGGTGAAGGATGGTGGTGGCAGCATCATGTTGTGGGGATGTTTTTCAGCGGCAGGGACTGGGAGACTAGTCAGGATCGAGGGAAAGATGAACGGAGCAAAGTACAGAGAGATCCTTGATGAAAACCTGCTCCAGCACACTCAGGACCTCAGACTGGGGTGAAGGTTCACCTTCTAACAGGACAACGACCCTAAGCACACAGCCAAGACAACGTAGGAGTGGCTTCAAGTACAAGTCTCTGAATGTCCTTGAGTGGCCCAGCCAGAGCCCAGACTTGAAACTGATTGAACATCTCTGTAGAGGCCTGAAAATAGCTGTGCAGCGACACTCCCCATCCAACCTGACAGAGCTTGAGAGGATCTGCAGAGAAGAATGGAAGAAACTCGCCAAATACAGGTGTGCCATGCTTGTAGCATCATACCCAAGAAGACTTGAGGCTTTTATTGCTGCCAAAGGTGCTTCAACAAAGTACTGATTAAAGGGTCTGAATACATATGTTAATGTGATATTTCAGTTTTATATTTTTAATAAATATGCAAACATTTCTAAAAACTTGTTTTTGCTTTTTTATCATGGGGTATTGTGTTTAGATTGATGAGGCAAAAAAACATTTTAATCCATTTTCGAATAAGGCTGTAACGTAATAAAATGTGGAAAAAGTCAAGGGGTCTGAATACTTTCCGAATGCACTGTATATATATATTGCCTCCTAATATTGTACAATCTGTGTGTCGCTTCATTGGCCTGGGCTATTGTTGTTTGAATTCAAGACCAGATTGATTTCAGTCATTTGTGTGGTATTAAAAAAGATTCAGGTAATAATGTCTTTAGGGGGACCCTGCTAACAAATGTTCCCCATTTGTGGAAATCCTAAAAACGCCTCTGCTCAACTGTAGCCTATGCCACACTGCAAATGTTATTATGGCTTTATTCTAAAGGGCCTTTTTCTTCAACAGTCAATTTTACCACGCACCATAATTCTTAATCCGGCCCTGCACACAAGAGCAGCCTAATAGATTGTGAAATGTTTCCAACCAAAGTTGGTACTGTACTAATGCAATACAGTACAATACTCTTCATACACCAGTATTGTGATGTAAGTATAATCGTGTCATATCATGTCACAAATGACCATATCAAATTGTTAATACATTTAGAGTAAAAGCCAGTCTCTTTTTTTGGCCAAGTCCTCTTCACTAGGCCCTCCATTCAAAGGCTCAGATGTTGATGCCAAAGCTTATTTGAACACATCCCTGTTGTCTGTGTTTGTCACAAGCAACACATGCCTCACCGAGCGTTCTCTAAGACTCATTCCACCACTTAACGTTCCATTATATGCTGCTCCATGTATCCCACCACTTAGCATCTGCCTGTATTCATTCAGATATGAGCCCCTGGTGGTTTATCACACAGATAGACTTACTAATAGCCTCAGAGGCCAGTCCCCAGACCGACAGCTCCCATCCTCTATTTGTGTTATTTGTTCACTCGTTCTCCTCTCTCGTTCTCTGAGGGTGCCAAGAAATCTGACTAATATTAGAGTACTAACAACATTCCTGCCGTTACAATACCCCCCCTGGAACTATGTTGTGGCTCTATGGCAGCTAATTGTCTGTTAGCTGGGGGGGGAGGCTATCCACTAATTTAAAGCTGTTGATTGTGTTAAATTTTTTCCCCTCTTCCTTCCTATTGCTCAAGCAGCGACTTTGGTGAAAACCCATCTGTAAAGCAAATTACTGCAAAGACAGGTGGCTAAAGTAGTAACAATTCCAGTTGAGCTATCGGATAACCTTTCCTGATAGCAATCTGGCAATTTCCTTCATCTTATCTCTGATGACTGTATTTGGCAGGTTTTATGTACTTTTACAAAATAACTCCGGTGAATACATTCAAATAAATGTTTTATTGATATTGTAAAACAATTTAGAGATTGGAACACGAACATCGATATAAACACACACACATTAATATGTGTGTACCCACTGGGCAGACGTCATTTTAATGTCTAGTTTTGATTTACATTTGGTTGAGTCGTCAGCTAACGTGAAATCAACAAAGCATTTCATCATTGGATTTAGGTTAAAAGTTGTGAAAAAAACATGAAATTCCCTTACGTTGATGACTTTTTGTAAATCCAAATCAGTTTTCCATGTTGATTCAACATCACATAAATTGTTTTATTTTTTATTACATGGAAACCAGTTTTTGTCCAGTGGGTATCCACACGCGTACACACACACCCTCCCCCAAACCACACCCGGTCTTAAACCCCAACACACATTATTCACAAATTCAAATATTTGAATTGGAATTGTTTACATTGGACTACAAAATAAGTTATTCTTACCCCGTGACATTAATACCATTAAAGTATTATATCTTATACAGAATTATCATCATAAGTCTTTGTGGCCGTTCACAATTCGCCTGTAATTTATAACATTGTTTTCTTCTACATACAGCATACATTATTTGGGTGATGCTTTTTACTCAAAGCAACAAAAACATACTGTGGTTAAGAGGCTTGTTGGGGGCTCTCAGAGCAAGCGTTTAGTTAGCTTTGAGCTTTAATAGGTCCTGCATAAAAGACTCCAGCTCAACTTAGAAAAGGCTTTAGCCTTCTTTAGCCTATACTTAGGTGCATGAGAAGAGACATCAACTCTCCTTAACTGTCATTGTCTTAAAGTCAGATAGCGTGGTTCTGTCTGCACTGTCGGTGGAGGGACTAGTGCTCTGTAGGAGTAACGCCACCTGTCAGAAGACAATGCCTCAACTGTCTCGCTAAAACTTTGCCGTTCTCTGCAGATTGGCGAATAAAGGGGGGGTAATAATGGCTTCTGCACGAACACAGAGAAGTAAGAAGGTAGAATTGGGAGATTAACACTTCACAATCACACTATAATTATTGTTTTCCAGCATTGAATCAATGAGATTTCACGGTTTGCTCTGTGAGCTTGTTCTTTCCCTCTCTCCCTCTGTTGTGGTTCCACCTCTCCTGAGAGTGATGTCACTGACTGACACAGTCAGGCTGTCCCACACCTATGACATCATCACTTCCCGTCCTTTTTTCAGTCCCTGTCCCTCTCCTCATCCAGCGGGTGGGTCTGCCTGTGCTCCCAAACACGCACTGCTCCGTCCCACTGTGAAGGATTTGAAAAAAAGAAAGAGATATAGTATGAGAGAAATAGAGAAAAAGAAAGAGATATAGTATGAGAGAAATAAAGAAAAAGAAAGAGATATAGTATGAGAGAAATAGAAAAAAAGAGAGGGAAGTGGGAAAGAGGGAGGAAAAGGAACAGTATGTTAAATGACAGGAAAGATAAGAGAACTTACAAGCACATTGATTTAATGAGATAGGTATTCTGAATGGTCTATGTAGACTTTTCAATTTATTCATATACATTTAAATGAATTGGAATTGACGCCAACCCCTCAGTGCTGTGGAGCAGAGCCAGCTAGAGAGACTTACCGAGCTGCTGATGATGTTGTCCTGGTAGGGATGCCAGCTGACGTCCCTCACACACGCATCATGGTCAGAGAGTCTGGTCACCACGCTGCCCGTCAGCACGTCATAGACTGGACACACACAGTCCGTTAGACCCCTCTACAATGCTTTTGACTCCCTCTAGCACACGTGTTGACAAACACACACAATATTTCTCTCTCCCACACAGATATGTACACACTTTACATTTTACACAAACAAACAGAATCCAACTATATTTCTCTCTTCAACACACACACGCAATGCACGCACACACACATCCACACCCAGGCATAGTGGGGCGGCAGGTAGCTTAGTGGGTAAGAGCGTTGTGCCAGTAACCGAAAGGTCACTGGTTCTAATCCCTGAGCCGACTAGGTGAAAAATCTGTCGATGTGCCCTTAAGCAAGGCACTTAACCCTAATTGCTCATGTAAGTCGCTCTGGATAAGAGCGTCTGCTAAATGACTAAAATGTAAAATGTAAATGTAGTGACTCACCGATGATCTTCCCAGTGGAGCAGCCGGTGTAGATGAACCTCTGTCCGGTGGTGAACTCCGGGGAGAAACGACAGCGTATGAGCGTGTGCAGAACACCGTGACCCCTGTAGGTCATCACCGAGGTGTCGCCGGTCAGCTTGTGTCTCTTCAGGGCTGGGAGGACAGGCGGATAGACGCACAGCAGGCAAACGACAGGTCAGTCAACACTGCCTGCTATTTACACAGTCAAATACAGCTGCCTTATGGCTAAATATTTACAATAGGACGTGTAGTAGAGGATGAATGCTCAAAGATACTGTAGAGGCAATGTTCCCTCTAATTTCAGGTCTGCTGAGCGAAAACTTGAACATTGTGAAAATTCTGTGCAACTTCCAGCGCATGTTTACGGTGATCACTGATGCTGTACCAGCTTTAAATTACTGTTTTAACAGTGGCCATGTAGGCTACTGTGGCTATTTGATCATAATGTAGGCCTACCAAAGTGGACTACCATCAAAAACAATGCGAAAATGCATCCCATAACATTTTAACATGGAAATAGCTGGTCTATCATTCAGCCTACAGTAGCAGCCAATGTGTGGTGTTCAATGTAGGCCTACATTCCATGAGACTTAAAAAAAAAAAAAACATGCAGGGCTTGACAAACTATTTATCCACTTGTCCTTCAGACAAGGAGATGACTGAAAATGTGTTGTTTGATGCAAGAAACCACTTTACAAAATAAAATGCATAATTATTCCCATACCATTATTAAAGAGAATCAGACAAATTATGCTACCCTCTGCCTATTGGCTACTTAGCTTATTCAAGCCTGTCTCAAAATACAACACTGCCCCTTTAAGACAAAAAAAAAAAGCAATTCACCTGACTCGCATTTCAAAGGTGTCGAGAAATGTACATGTTTTGTGCTCTTGTAGGAAGCAATCACTACCCTATTGCTGACTACAAATTATCTATAACTGGGCTAATAACTCACTAACTAGCAAAGGAGAAGAACAAAATGTGCACGTGGCTACATGCAGCTCTCACTTTGATCTCAAAACAAGCGCATCTACTCGTGACCGCTCATGCTGTAAACACAGTCCAGTTCAACGTAAATGGCACAGATCCATATATGGCAATGGTCTATTTGCATATAGGCCTACTGCAGCTCTGATTGTTTATGCCGCACCAGTCTGTGTTGAGTACGGGCTGAGTAGTGCCCGTCATTGCAATAGAATCCTACTCGGATGCGGTCTGCCTACAACAACATTTCTTGCATAGTTCATTTTGTTTCGGTATGTTGCATTGGAAGTAGCTAATATTGCGTTGATTCGATCACAATTGCCACAGTAAAGGGAAACGTTGATAGTGTTAACAGGGAAAACTCTAGAACAGTGGTCACCAACCTTTTCTGAGTCAAGATCACTTTGAGTCAAAATATAAGCCAAGATCTACCACTCAGAATTGTTTTATAACATAAAAAACGTAAGCCTATGCAACATAAACCAATTAAAAACAGTACTGTAGCAATGAGGTTTGTGCAGTAAGCTATAGGCCCAACACATTATCACTGCATATTAGCTTTGCTTGAATTGCCCTGCATTTTTGTTTGGGCCATTTTTTAAAATGATTTTTAAACATTTATGGTAGGCTATATGATCACACCGGTAATAGATCAGTTGTTGTATTACTTGTGAGGCACAGCTGAGTGAGCATACATTTAAATAATTTGCTTTTTATTGGTCAGTCTCAGCGGAGGGAGAGAGCAGCAGACTGAGGGTCCGCCTCTCAACATCCCTCCGCTCTCCCTTTCCTCCACTGACACTGACCAAAAAAGGACACAGTCTTCCAGCTGATGGCCAAACTCGAGTCGCACTGCATTATTTCTGCCTCATGCACAAATTCATGTTGTTACTCCTATGAACAGAGAAAGTGAAATAAATATTCCTCGATATTAAAAAAGACCCAAGCCGCTAATAATAACAACGCAAGCCTATAGATACACTTTTGTACTCATTCATTACTGCTGCAGTGTTTTTTTTAGCGCTGAGTGGAAATAGGAAGAATGCACATTTTATGGCTTATAAAAGTTTTTTTTTTTTAAGTGTTGACAGTGTTGAGTAAGAACTTAAACATGATCTCATGCATAAAAACAGCAGTTCTTTGCTGTATTCGTTGACAGTCTCTCTCTAGTCATAGTTTTAAATGTTTTGAAATATCAACTTTGCTGTAGCTTTATTTTATGTCTGCTACGTTACGGCAGACACGGTAATCTGAGCCATCGACTAGGAATGCCTTGGAGATCGACCAGTTGGTGACTACTGCTCTAGAAAGTTGAGTAAAGTTCAATCTCGTGCTTCTGTCTGTGGGCTGATATTTCTATGCGGCAGTCTCGGGGCTACTGAGTGGCGCAGTGGTCTAAGGCACTGCATCGCAGTGCTAGCTGTGCCACTAGAGATCCTGGTTCGAATCCAGGCTCTGTCGTAGCCGGCCGTGACCGGGAGACTCATGGGGCGGCGCACAATTGGCCCAGCGTCGTCCAGGGTAGGGGAGGGAATGGCCGGCAGGGATGTTGGTAGAGCATGGTGTTTGCAACGCCAGGGTTGTGGGTTCGATTCCCGCGGGGGGCCAGTATGAAAAATAAATACAAATATGTATGTACTCACTAACTGTAAGTCGCTCTGGATAAGAGCGTCTGCTAAATGACGTAAATGTAAATGTACTGCGCACGCGCACATGCACAGCTTAGAGGGAACATTGACTGTAGGTAGGGATGGGGGGAAAATGAATACAGTAGAGTATTGCGATATTATTTTTGGCCATTTTATATCGATACTGTGCCTCCAAATAGCGCATATTTTTTAAACGTATTTTTGCTTGGTTAACGTTAGCTATTCGGATATACCTGTGCCAAAATGCTGGTATTTAGCACCGTATAGCATAGAGATAGAGGACTCTAGTGCCCAAAAGCCTGTTATAGCATGGGCAGCGCCACTGAGGACTTTCACCATTTTCAAGCAGTCAACTGGGTGGGACTTCCTATGGGTTAAGGAAGGATCACATAATTCCATCCAGGTCACCAGGAGGGATCAGCCAATGGATTATACTCGTGAGGAAACATTCCATAACTGCAGGTGGCAGTAAATCACCAACCTTGGCTTTATACCGGTTCAAACAACACACTCTAGATGGCCGTGTGCACCCTTTCAGTTTGTTTACCAACTCATAGAAGTAGAAGAAAATGGACTACTTCAAAATAGAGATGGCCTCAATAGTGCCTCTAACTATCTCTATGTCCTATAGCTAGTTCTCAATCTTATTTTTAAAGATGGAATCCGCAGTAGGGGGAAACAGCGCCACTTGCCACCCCACCATCATTGTTTTTGTTGCCGAGCTGAGGAGCGTTGCGCAGCATGGTAAAATAAATTGCAGTACATACTGTGCTCTTCTATCACGCGTGCAATGATGTCAGAGGGGGAAAAACAGTGTTCGCTGTTAGCAGTAACTTCTTTGTTGTTGTAATATCACAAATGGACGTGGCTGTTTCATCATTAAGGATTTCAGCTTTAAATGGTGAGCCAACATGTTTTGAGCACTTTCACCTCCAAAAAACTTTTTTGTATAGCTTTGTCTTGTCCCTCGGCAGCAGACATATAATGAGCAATATGTTTGGAACATCGAATTGCAAAACATATAGAATTATGATACGTATAGAATCGCAATACATATCGTATCGGCACCTAAGTATCGTGATAATATCATATCGAGAGGTCCCTAGCAATTCCCAGTGTTAACTGTAGGTAGACCCATGTCATCAATACTTGATAAAGCAATTATGAGATGTTCTGAATGCAAATGTTAAATCTAGAGTAGTGATGGGAGCCAGGTTGCCAAACCCAGCCCAAAAGCCCTACAAATCTTCAAATAAATGTTGCAATAATGGTTGGATCGGCCTCCCGAGTGGCACAGCGGTCTAAGGCACTACATCACAGTGCTTGAGGCATCACTACATACCTGGGTTCGATCCCAGGCTGTGTCGCAGCCGACCGGGAGACCCATGAGGCGGCGCACAATTGGCCCAGCGCTGTCCGGATTAGGGGAGGGTTTGGCCGGCCGGGATGTCCTTGTCCCATCGCGCTCTAGCGACTCCTTATGGCGGGCCGGGCGCATGTACGCTGGCTTCGGTTACCAGCTGTACAGTGTTTCCTTTGACACATTGGTGCGGCTGGCTTTCGGGTTAAGCGAGCAGTGTGTCAAGAAGCAGTGCGGCTTGGCAGGGTCGTGTTTCGGAGGACGCATGGCTCGCGACCTTCGCCTCTCCCGAGTCCGTACGGGAGTTGCAGCGATGGGACAAGACTGTAACTACCAATTGGATATCACGAAATTGGGGAGGAAATGGGTTACAAAGTAAAAAATATATTATAATAATGGTTGGATCGATTTAATCATCATGCATACTTGCATAGTACGTTATGATTGAAGATTGCAGTTGGAGTGGAGTTGGAGTGGCCCACTTGCTAATCTAAGATAGAAGAGGAACCAGTACTGTACAATAACCTTTTTGCCTCAAACGTCCATAATCCCCTACCCCAAACACCCTGACCCTCTTCCACCCCAGGCCTCTCACCTCTCTGGGGCACCTGCTGCCAGCGGTAGTCCCAGTTCTGCTGGGTAACGGCCAGCCGTGAGGCCGCCAAGCCCTCCTTGGGGGAGAACTTCCTCACATCCCACAGCTTGATGGACTGGTCCTTAGAGTTACTGATCAGATAACGTGCATCGCCCTGCAAGATGGAGAGGGCAGGTTAATAATGGATTTTCTTCCTGACAGAAATAGTTGTCCCTGTGGGTGATTTGTGCAGTCAACGGACACACAGAGAGGGTGTTGTTATCACAGCATGAGGGTAAAAATACTAATAATACATCCTTACTCACTGATCGAAACCCTTTCTGATTGGTGAAACAGCACTGCATAGCTTTGACCTGTCCAGTTATGTGTATAAACAGTGTATAAAAAATACATTTTACAATGTACAGTGCCTTCATAAAGTATTCATACCCCTTGACTTATTCCATATGTTGTTGTGTTACAGCCTGAGACCAAAATCGATTCAATATTATACTTTTTTCACCCATCTACAGTCGTGAAAAAGCTTTGAGAATGACACAAATATGAAATTTTCACAAAGTCTGCTGCCTCAGTTTTTATGATGGCAATTTGCTCCAGAATGTTATGAAGAGTGATCAGATGAATTGCAAAGTCCCTCTTGGCCATGAAAATGAACTTAATCCCAAAAAAAACATTTCCACTGCATTTCAGCACTGCCACAAAAGGACCAGCTGACATCATGTCAGTGATTCTCTCGTTAACACAGGTGAGCGTGTTGACGAGGACAAGGCTGGAGATCACTCGGTCATGCTGATTGAGTTAGAATAACAGACTGGAAGCTTTAAAAGGAGGGTGGTGCTTGAAATCACTGTTCTTCCTCTTAACCATGGTTAGCTGCAAGGAAACACGTGCTGTCATCATTGCTTTGCACAAAAAGGGCTTCACAAGCAAGGATATTGCGGCTAGTAAGATTGCACCTAAATCAACCATTTATCGGATCATCAAGAACTTCCAAGGAGAGAGGTTCAATTGTTGTGAAGAAGGCTTCAGGGCGCCCAAGAAAGTCCAGCAAGCGCCAGGACCGTCTCCTAAATTTGATTAACTTGCGGGATCGGGGCACCACCAGTGCAGAGCATGCTCAGGAATGGCAGCAGGCAGGTGTGAGTGCATCTGCACGCACAGTGAGGCAAATAATTTTGGAGGATGGCCTGGTGTCAAGAAGGGCAGCGAGGAAGCCACTTCTCTCCAGGAAAAACATCAGGGACAGACTGATATTCTGCAAAAGGTACAGGGATTGGACTGCTGAGGACTGGGGTAAAGTCATTTTCTCTGATGAATCCCCTTTCCGATTGTTTGGGGCATCCGGAAAAAAGCTTGTCCGGAGAAGACAAGGTGAGCGCTACCATCAGTCCTGTGTCATGCCAACAGTAAAGCATCCTGAGACCATTCATGTGTGGGGTTGCTTCTCAGCCAAGGGAGTGGGCTTACTCACAATTTTGCCTACGAACACAGCCATGAATACAGAATGGTACCAACACATCCTCCGAGAGCAACTTCTCCCAACCATCCAAGAACAGTTTGGTGACGAACAATGCTGTTTCCAGCATGATGGAGTACCTTGCCATAAGGCAAAAGTGATAACTAAGTGGCTCGGGGGAACAAAACATCAACATTTTGGGTCCATGGCCAGGAAACTCCCCAGACCTTAATCCCATTGAGAACTTGTGGTCAATCCTCAAGAGGCGGGTAGACAAACAAAAACCCACAAATTCTGACAAACTCCAAGCATTGATTATGCAATAATGGGCTGCCATCAGTCAGGATGTGGCCCAGAAGTGAATTGACAGCATGCCAGGGTGGATTGCAGAGGTCTTGAAAAAGAAGGGTCAACACTGCAAATATTGACTCTTTGCATAAACGTTATATAATTGTCAATAAAAGCCTTTGACACTTATGGAATGCTTGTAATTATACTTCAGTATACCATAGTAACATCTGACAAAAATATCTAAAAACACTGAAGCAGAAAACTTTGTGAAGACCAATACTTGTGTCATTCTCAAAACTTTTGACCACGACTGTACACACAATACCCCATAACAACAAAGTGAAAACATGTTTTTAGAAATGTTTGCACATTTATTGAAAATGAAGTACATAAACATCTAAATTTACATAAGTATTCACACCCCTTTGCTATGACACTCCAAATTGAGCTGAGGTGCATCCAATTTCCCTTGATCATCCTTGAGATGTCACTACAACTTGATTGGAGTACACCTGCGGCCAATTCAATTGTTTGGACAAGCTGAACCTCAGCAAGACAGAGCTGCTCTTCCTCCCGGGGAAGGACTGCCCGCTCCATGATCTCGCCATCATGGTTGACAACTCCGTTCTGTCCTCCTCCCAGAGTGCAAAGAACCTTGGTGTGACCCTGGACAACACCCTGTCGTTCTTCGCTAACATCAAAGCGGTGACCCGATCCTGTAGGTTCATGCTCTACAACATTCGCAGAGTACGACCCTACCTTACACAGGAAGCGGCACAGGTCCTAATCCAGGCACTTGTCATCTCCCGTCTGGATTACAGCAACTCGCTGTTGGCTGGGCTCCCTGCCTGTGCCATTAAACCCCTACAACTCATCCAGAACGCTACAGCCCGTCTGGTGTTCAACCTTCCCAAGTTGTCTCACGTCACCCCGCTCCTCCGCACACTCCACTGGCTTCCAGTTGAAGCTCGCATCTGCTACAAGACCATGGTGCTTGCCTACGGCGCTGTGAGGGGAACGGCACCTCCGTACCTTCAGGCTCTGATCAGTCCCTACACCCAAACGAGGGCATTGCGTTCATCCACCTCTGGCCTGCTGGCCCCCCTACCTCTGCGGAAGCACAGTTCCCGCTCAGCCCAGTCAAAACTGTTCGCTGCTCTGGCACCCCAATGGTGGAACAAGCTCCCTCAAGACGCCAGGACAGCGGAGTCACAAACCACCTTCCGGAGACACTTGAAACCCCACCTCTTTAAGGAATACCTGGGATAGGATAAAAGTAATCCTTCTACCCTCCCCCTCCCAATTTTTTTTTATATATATATATATATATATATATATATATATATATATATATATATATATATATATATATATATACAGTGGGGAGAAAAAGTATTTAGTCAGCCACCAATTGTGCATGTTCTCCCACTTAAAAAGATGAGAGAGGCCTGTAATTTTCATCATAGGTACACGTCAACTATGACAGACAAATTGAGAAAAGAAATCCAGAAAATCACATTGTAGGATTTTTTATGAATTTATTTGCAAATTATGGTGGAAAATCAGTATTTGGTCACCTACAAACAAGCAAGATTTCTGGCTCTCACAGACCTGTAACTTCTTCTTTAAGAGGCTCCTCTGTCCTCCACTCGTTACCTGTATTAATGGCACCTGTTTGAACTTGTTATCAGTATAAAAGACACCTGTCCACAACCTCAAACAGTCACACTCCAAACTCCACTATGGCCAAGACCAAAGAGCTGTCAAAGGACACCGGAAACAAAATTGTAGACCTGCACCAGGCTGGGAAGACTGAATCTGCAATAGGTAAGCAGCTTGGTTTGAAGAAATCAACTGTGGGAGCAATTATTAGGAAATGGAAGACATACAAGACCACTGATAATCTCCCTTGATCTGGGGCTCCACGCAAGATCTCACCCCGTGGGGTCAAAATGATCACAAGAACGGTGAGCAAAAATCCCAGAACCACATGGGGGGACCTAGTGAATGACCTGCAGAGAGCTGGGACCAAAGTAAACAAAGCCTACCATCAGTAACACACTACGCCGCCAGGGACTCAAATCCTGCAGTGCCAGACGTGTCCCCCTGCTTAAGCCAGTACATGTCCAGGCCCGTCTGAAGTTTGCTAGAGTGCATTTGGATGATCCAGAAGAGGATTGGGAGAATGTCATATGGTCAGATGAAACCAAAATATAACTTTTTGGTAAAAACTCAACTCGTCGTGTTTGGAGGACAAAGAATGCTGAGTTGCATCCAAATAACACCATACCTACTGTGAAGCATGGGGGTGGAAACATCATGCTTTGGGGCTGTTTTTCTGAAAAGGGACCAGGACGACTGATCCGTGTAAAGGAAAGAATGAATGGGGCCATGTATCGTGAGATTTTGAGTGAAAACCTCCTTCCATCAGCAAGGGCATTGAAGATGAAACGTGGCTGGGTCTTTCAGCATGACAATGATCCCAAACACACCGCCCGGGCAACGAAGGAGTGGCTTCGTAAGAAGCATTTCAAGGTCCTGGAGTGGCCTAGCCAGTCTCCAGATCTCAACCCCATAGAAAATCTTTGGAGGGAGTTGAAAATCCGTGTTGCCCAGCGACAGCCCCAAAACATCACTGCTCTAGAGGAGATCTGCATGGAGTAATGGGCCAAAATACCAGCAACAGTGTGTGAAAACCTTGTGAATCAAATCAAATTTTATTGGTCACATGCGCCGAATACAACAGGTGCAGACATTACAGTGAAATGCTTACTTACAGCCCTTAACCAACAGTGCATTTATTTTTAACAAAAAAAGTAATAAAACAACAACAAAAAAGTGTTGAGAAAAAAAAAGAGCAGAAGTAAAATAAAGTGACAGTAGGGAGGCTATATATACAGGGGGGTACCATTGCAGAGTCAATGTGCGGGGGCACCGGCTAGTTGAGGTAGTTGAGGTAATATGTACATGTGGGTAGAGTTAAAGTGACTATGCATAAATAATTAACAGATTAAGACTTACAGAAAACGTTTGACCTGTGTCATTGCCAACAAAGGGTGTATAACAAAGTATTGAGAAACTTTTGTTATTGACCAAATACTTATTTTCCACCATAATTTGCAAATAAATTCATTAAAAAATCCTACAATGTGATTTTCTGGAGAAAAAAAATCTAATTTTGTCTGTCATAGTTGACGTGTACCTACAGTGAGGGAAAAAAGTATTTGATCCCCTGCTGAGTTTGTACGTTTGCCCACTGACAAAGTCATGATCAGTCTTTGATTTTAATGGTAGGTTTATTTGAACAGTGAGAGACAGAATAACAACAAAACAATCCAGAAAAACGCATGTCAAAAATGTTATAAATGAGGTCCTCTGTAGCTCAGCTGGTAGAGCACGGCGCTTGTAACGCCAAGGTAGTGGGTTCGATCCCCGGGACCACCCATAAACAAAAAAAATGTATGCACGCATGACTGTAAATCGCTTTGGATAAAAGCGTCTGCTAAATGGCATATTATTATTATTATTATTATAAATTGATTTGCATTTTAATGAGGGAAATAAGTATTTGACCCCCTCTCAATCAGAAAGATTTCTGGCTCCCAGGTGTCTTTTATACAGGTAACGAGCTGAGATTAGGAGCACACTCTTAAAGGGAGTGCTCCTAATCTCAGTTTGTTACCTGTATAAAAGACACCTGTCCACAGAAGCAATCAATCAATCAGATTCCAAACTCTCCACCATGGCCAAGACCAAAGAGCTCTCCAAGGATGTCAGGGACAAGATTGTAGACCTACGCAAGGCTGGAATGGGCTACATGACCATCGCCAAGCAGCTTGGTGAGAAGGTGACAACAGTTGGTGCGATTATTCGCAAATGGAAGAAACACAAAAGAACTGTCAATCTCCCTCGGCCTGAGGCTCCATGCAAGATCTCACCACATGGAGTTGCAATGATCATGAGAACGGTGAGGAATCAGCCCAGAACTACACGGGAGGATCTTGTCAATGATCTCAAGGCAGCTGGGACCATAGTCACCAAGAAAACAATTGGTAATACACTACGCCGTGAAGGACTGAAATCCTGCAGTGCACGCAAGGTCCCCCTGCTCAAGAAAGCACATATACATGCCCGTCTGAAGTTTGCCAATGAACATCTGAATGATTTAGAGGAGAACTGGGTGAAAATGTTGTGGTCAGATGAGACCAAAATGGAGCTCTTTGGCATCAACTCAACTCGCCGTGTTTGGAGGAGGAGGAATGCTACCTATGACCCCAAGAACACCATCCCCACCGTCAAACATGGAGGTGGAAACATTATGCTTTGGGGGTGTTTTTCTGCTAAGGGGACAGGACAACTTCACCGCATCAAAGGGACGATGGACGGGGCCATGTACCATCAAATCTTGGGTGAGAACCTCCTTCCGTCAGCCAGGGCATTGAAAATGGGTCGTGGATGGGTATTCCAGCATGACATTGACCCAAAACACATGGCCAAGGCAACAAAGGAGTGGCTCAAGAAGAAGGACATTAAGGTCCTGGAGTGGCCTAGCCAGTCTCCAGACCTTAATCCCATAGAAAATCTGTGGAGGGAGCTGAAGGTTTGAGTTGCCAAACGTCAGCCTTGAAACCTTAATGACTTGGAGAAGATCTGCAAAGAGGAGTGGGACAAAATCCCTCCTGAGATGTGTGCAAACCTGGTAGCCAACTACAAGAAACGTCTGACCTCTGTGATTGCCAACAAGGGTTTTGCCACCAAGTACTAAGTCATGTTTTGCAGAGGGGTCAAATACTTATTTCCCTCATTAAAATGCAAATCAATTTATAACATTTTTGACATGCGTTTTTCTGGATTTGTTTGTTGTTATTCTGTCTCTCACTGTTCAAATAAACCTACCATTAAAATTATAGACTGATCATTTCTTTGTCAGTGGGCAAACATACAAAATCAGCAGGGGATCAAATACTTTTTTCCCTCACTGTATGATGAAAATTACAGGCCTCTCTCATATTTTTAAGTGGGAGAACTTGCACAATTGGTGGCTGACTAAATACCTTTTCCCCCACTGTATATATATGTTGTAAAGTGGTTGTCCCACTGGCTATCATAAGGTGAATGCACCAATTTGTAAGTCGCTATGGATAAGAGTGTCTGCTAAATGACGAAAATGTAAATGTAAATTTAGAAAGAAACACCTGTCTATATATAAGGTCCCACAGTTGACAGTGCATGTCAAAGCAGAAACGATATGATGAAGTCCGAGGAAATGTCCGTAGATCACCAAGATATAATTTTGATGAGGCATATATCTGGTCCCGTGTGGCTCAGTTGATGGCGCTTGCAACGCAAAGGTTGTGGGTTCGATTCCCACGGGGGATCAGTACGAAAGAAAAAGTATGAAAATGTATGCACTCACTACTGTAAGTCGCTCTGGATAAGAACGTCTGATAAATGACTAAAATGTAAATGTAAAATTCAGAGGGGTTGGGTTAAATGCGGAAGACACATTTCGGTTGAATGCATTCAGTTGTGCAACTGACTAGGTATCCCCTTATATCTCGGGAAGGGTATACAACTATTTCTAGAGTGTTGAAAGTTTCCAAGAGCACAGTGGTCTCAATCATTGGGAAATTGATAAAATATGGAACTACCTAGAACTGGCCATCCGACCAAACTCTGCAACCGGGCAAGAGCGACCTTGGTCAGGGAGGTGACCAAGAACCCAATGACCACTCTGACAGAACTACAGAGTTCCTTGGCTGAGATGGGAGAACCTGCCAGAAGGACAACAGTCTCTACAACATGTCACCAATCTGGGCTTTATGGGAGAGTGGCCAGACAGAAGCCACTCCTGAGAAAAAGGCACGACAGCACGCCTGGAGTTTGCAAAAAGGAACATGAAAGACAGAGCATAAGGCAAAAGATTCTGTGGTCTAATGAGAATAATTTTACTCTTTGGCCTGAACGCATACCGCTATGTCTGGAGAAAACCAGGCACAGCTCATCACCCGTCTAACACCATACCAACCGTGAAGCCTGGTGGTGGCAGCATCATGCTATGGGGATGCTTTTCAGCAGCAGGGACTGGGTGACTGGTAAGGATAGAGGGAACAATGAATGGAGCCAAATACAGGCAAATCCTTGATGAGTACCTGCTTCAGAGTGCAAATGACCTTGGATTCGGGCGAAGATTTACATTCCAACAGGACAATGACCCCAAGCATACAGCCAAACCAACGCTGGAATGGCTTCAGAACAAAAATGTAAAAGCCCTTGAGTGGCCCAGCCAAAACCCAGACTTGAATCCCATTGAACATCTGGGCAAAGACTTGAAGATTGCTGTTCACCGCCACTCCCCATCTAACTTAACAGAGCTTGAGAAAATCTGAAAGGAAGAATGGGTGGAAGTCCCAAATCCAGATGTGCAAAGCTGATACAGACACCCAAGACGACTCAAAGCTGTAATCGCCGCCAAAGGTGCTTTAACAAAGTATTGACTTAGGGGTATGAATACTTATTTAAATTAGATATTGCTGTATTTCATTTTCAATACATTTGCTAAAACATGTTTTCACTTTCTCATTATGCGGTATTGTGTGTAGATTGCTGAGAAAAATATATTTAATCCATGTTGAATTCAGGCTGTAACACAACAAAATGTGGAATAAGTCAAAGGGTATGAATACTTTCTGTGGGCACTGTATGTATTCGAATAGAATTGATATGGATGATTACATACATTGTATCTTACTGTGTATGAGGGTGATTACAAATGCTGGACACATACACACACAGGTAGAGTTTTTTTCTATTACCTTGCTGTGTATGAAGGTGATGCCGTCTCTGTGTCCAGACAGCTGGCCCACGGGCTGGGGTCTGTCCTCCCGCAGCGTCCGCCTGTCCCACACCTTGCAGAGCGCGTCGTCGCTGCCCGAGAACAGCAGCTGAGACGAGCTGTCAGCAAACGCCACCGCGTTCACGTCGTCCTCGTGAGCATCAATCTGAGGAGAAGGGGAGGAGGGAAGAGGAGCGAGGGGGGAAGAAAGAAAGGAAGAGGGGGGGAGAGAGAGTGTGTGTAAGACAGAGAGAGAGCGAGAGAGAGGACAGATGGCAGAGGTCAACCCAGTGAGGAGGGATGGCTCTATCGTCAGCAAGGCGATGGTGTGAAGCTTGGTGGGCAGACAGAGGGTGACCAGGGTGTGACTAAATACTTGCAGTGCCAATGTCAACAGCAACAGCAAATATGGTCCATAAGCAGACACACACACACACAGACACACACACAGACAGACACACAGACAGACACACAGACAGACCTTAAGGGTTCTCTTATTCTGTTCACGATCAAAGACGTAGAGGCAGCCATCGTTTGCTCTGTGAAGAAAATACAGAAACGGAGAGTGAGAGATGTACTGTATGCTTTAAACGCTGCCCTAAATTGATCTGAAAATTGGGATTAATAAATTGGGTGCATTAACCCTCCAAGGATCTCTTTTCCGTCTGTGGAGGCAGCCAGAGAGAAGACACAGAACCTCCTCTCGTCTGGGCTAAGAGGGAAGAACAGAACATTAACCAGCCTCCCCCACTGAGACATCTCCAATTATGGAACATCATCTACAACCCATGGAAATAACAGGCCTAAAATGGTGCTGCTCTCTTCAGAGAAACATGCGTGTAACTCAAAGTTCAGTGGAAAAGTAGCCTTGCGAGCCGCCCTGATGCAGCGAACCATTCATCAGGGTGGCTCACGAGGCTAGTGCAAGTCTCCCCTCGACATGAATTCATATAACTTAAGTAAAAGTTGAAGGTACAAAGAAGGCATTTAGTTAGGATTTGGCCCAAAGAGCAGGAAGTAAATGGAAAATCACATAAATGGAGGCGCTCAGCTTTCCATGTAATACATTATGAACTAATCTAATTTAAATGGTTCCTGTTGCTCCATTAGTGGCACACAAAATGAACAATGGACAGTTGAGATGATGGCTAGTTCCAAGGTCATGCATCCTTGTGAATGAAGAGGATTGCAGGTAGAATGGTTTATTACCTGATTGGTTAAGCTATAAGTACTATGAGGGGAAACACTAACTTGAGGTCCAGGGCGGTGTGGGTTTCACTGTCTCCATCTACACTGCAGACATGAACTAGAGGGGTACAAGAAAGCACACATCAGTACAAAATACACAACAATACACCCCAATGACATCATGACAAGAAGCCCAAAATAGACATATTCTGGTGAAGATCGTGATGGCAAAAAACATCAGTTTTAATGTTTAGAAATCATTTGTTTCAAAATGAGCAAGAATTTAGTTTTTTTCTTTCTTTCTTTAGATCGACATAGCTGTGATTACCGACTGCACCTCGTCTCATGTTGGTTGAAGCGCTGTCCTCCCACCTCCCTATCTTCAAATTAAGTTATAATCCTACACATTCCTTCATCTGTGGTAAGGTCAGGGTGACTGAAATATCAGCACCCCCCAGTGTGGGTGGTATTTTCACACTGGTGACCTAGCCTTACTGTAATCAGACCAGCTGGAGTAGAGCACGTTGTGGGAGTCGGGGGTGAAGCATACGTCCAGAACGCTCCAGCCCACGTCCCTGGCCTTCACAGTCTGCTTCAGGTTAAAGCGCCCCCTACTTGTGTCATACAAACGGATGTTCTGGTCTAGGAAAGCCAGGGAAGGGATGCATGTGTTAGAAATCAGTGGTCACTACAAATAAAAATTTGACATTGTTTTAATATCCATTTTGTAAATGTACATGTAAACACAGCGATGTGGTTAAGAACTAAAGGAATTTGAATCGTTTTCCCAGTCCACTGTAATGGTTGTGTTCACGTCCTTACCTTGGCAGGCAGAGAGGAACATGTTGCCATCGTCACTGTACACACCACAGAATGCTTTCTGCTGGTATGTGTCCTTGTGTGCCACATGATTGGGCAGGAAACTAAGGAGAAATGCAAACGGAACACCAAGGGATTTCAGCAACAACATTCAGGTCAATGGTCTGATAAATAAGGCTTTATTCATTGGAACTTTTAAGTGTAACAATTCATAAGACATCCCCTTTCACGCAATTAGTTTTAGCGTGTGGATGTGCAGCTTTTTGGTAATACTCACTGTGAGCGAATGCGACTGCACTCTCCGTGAGAAAAACTGGAGCCTCGACACCGGCCTTGTTCCCTCTAAAAGAATAACACAAATCAGAGTCACCCTCTAGACCTGAGGAACACAGCAGACCCAACATGACAATGCTTGCCCTCACCTCTGTCAGCATGTGGGTGAAGCTTTGCCTCCCTTTCAGGTCAGATGAGGCTGTGGTCAGGAGGATCTGAGTCCGGATTTCACTCCGGTCCAACTCCTGAGTGTCTGGCTGGGAGTCCACTGTCAAGACACAAGACACAGCAGCAGTCAGCAAGAGACCATTGGGGCATGCAAGTAGGTATACACACTTGTGAAACAAACATGCCAATACTTTTCATTTTAAATGTAACTGTGGCGTCAAGTGCATTGGAATATCTATATGAATAGCACTATATCAGATAAAAGGAATAGCATTATGTTTTTTGGTTGTTTTTCTTCCATTGCTTGCACACAAAATAAAAAGTAGGATTAATGTGACTAGTGCACACTCAAACAATGACACCCAGCTTGGTTTACCGGGAGGGTTGTAACGGTCTCCTAGGCGCCCCTCCCAGGCCCCATCGCTGTCCTCGTCAGAGTCCGAATACGACTGGACGAGCTGCAGGCCTGTTGCTCCACTCCCATGGACCAGCCTCACCTGGCCCCTTCATGTACACACAAAGATGGGGAGAGGGATGGGGAAACACTTGTGCTCATTGACATGAATTAGGACTAGGCTACACATAGAATACAACTCCAGAGGAGCAAGCACTCCATTCTGCATTGGCCTAATTTCCTTATAAGCGCTATGATGATGGAAAAAGTTTTGTTTTCCCTTCTGCTGAGAAGCAGTAATGTGAGTTTGTGTTGAGTATTTTTTTTTTTTACATGGAGCAAAGAGCACTTCTTTAGTGCTAGGTCTACTCTTTAGCTACTGTACAGGCTATGGTCAGACTGTCTCCCAGTCTCAGCTTCAACTTACCTCCTCAATAAGTAAGCCAGCACTTGAGCTAAATCGACGTCCTCCTCTGCTGTTGACTGCCTGTCACCCTGCTGTCCCTCAGCTGATCGGCGACCTCTACTGCTGTTACTGTTATTGCTGCTGCTGCTCTGGTTGGATTCCGCTTCAGACTGGTCAGGGTTGCCGCTGGAGCCCCGACCGCCGGACATCCCAGAACTAGACTGAGAGCCCATAGACCGAGAGCCTGCCAGGGAAGTCAATGTTGTTGTCTATGAGAAGTGAATAATGATGACAAATGCTGTAAAGGCCCAGTGCAGTAAAAAACATCATTTCCTGTGTTTATATATATATATATATTTCCCCACTATGCAGAAATCACTCCGCCATTGCCTAGTTGCAAAAATTCTAATAGTTCGATTAATTTCAGTTTATGTGACAAAACAAGCAAGTGTAGTGTATAGAACCATCTAAGCCTCTGTGAAATATATTTTCCATAACCAAAAATATTGTATTTTCAGCTGTTTGAAGCTGGTGTACAAAAACAAAAACAAAAGACGCAAAAACGAAACTTAAGAACGGGAAGCATAGAAATAGCATACATAGAACAGATCTACCGCTTCTTAGACTTGCTTCCAATGAGAAAGACAGATTGGGCCTCCCGAGTGGCGCAGCGGTCTAAGGCACTGCATCGCAGTGCTTGAGGCGTCACTACAGATCCGGGTTCGATCCCGGGCAGTGTCGCAGCCGGCCGCGACCGGGAGACCCAGCGTCATTCGGGTTAGGGGAGGGTTTGGCCGGCTGGGATGTCCTTGTCCCATCGCGCTTTAGCGACTCCTTGTGGCTGACTTCGGTCGCCAGCTGTACAGCGTTTCCTTCGACACATTGGTGCGGCTGGCTTCCGGGTTAAGCGAGCAGCTTGTCAAGAAGCAGTACGGCTTGGTGGGGTCGTGTTTCAGAGGACGCATGGCTCTCGACCTTCGCCTCTCCCGAGTCCGTACGGTAGTTGCAGCGATGGAACAAGACTGTAACTACCAATTGGATATCATGAAATTGGGGAGGAAAGGGGGTAAAAAGTATAACAAAAAAAGAAAATGACAGATCTATAAAAAATTTCTGTGAATTTGTTTGGGTCGCCAAAAAGTGACATATTGCAGCTTTAAGCCTTGAGACAAATGAAACATGGATTGTGTATGTTTGCCATTCAGAGGGTGAATGGGCAAGACAAAAGATTGAAGCGCCTTTGAACGGTTTGATTGTGTCAAGAACTGCAACGCTGAAGGGTTTTTCACACAACAGTTTCCTGTGTGAATCAAGAATGGTCCACCAGCCAACTTGACACAACTGTGGGAAGCATTGGAGTCAACATGGGCCAGCATCCCTGTGGAACGCTTTCGACACCTTGTAGAGTCCATGCCCCGACGAATTCAAATCAAATCAAATGTTATTTGCCACATGCGCCGAATACAACAGGTGTAGACATTACAGTGAAATGCTTACTTACAAGCCCTTAACCAACAATGCAGTTTTTTAAAGAAAAAGTAAAATAAAATAAAGTGTTAAGTAAAAAAATAAAAGCAAATAACTAAAGAGCAGCAGTAAAATAAAAGAACAGTTGGGAGGCTATATACAGGGGGTACCGGTACAGAGTAAATGTGCGGGGGCACCGGCTAGTCTAGGTAATTGAGGTAATATGTACATGTGGGTAGAGTTAAAGTGACTATGCATAAATAATAAACAGAGTAGCAGCAGCGTAAAAGAGGGGGATGGGGTGGGGGCTGTTCTGTGGGCAAAAGGGGGTGCAACGCAATATTAGGAAGGTGTTCCTAATGTTTTGGACACTCAGTGTATATGGCTCTGATGCTTGCTAATTCCTCATAGAGGATGATGTCATCATGAGGAGAATGAACTGCCAAATCAGCTGTCTTCTTGCATAGATATTTTTCATGACATATAAAACCACACCATTCTGTAGTTGGGTTACACTCACACCATTCGAACACAGAAAAGCTGCTTATTAACATACTTAAAGGTGCAATATGCAGAAATCGCTCTGCCATTTGCTGGTTACTAAGATTCTAATAGTTATATAGAGAAATATTGTACCATTTAAACCGATGTGAAATAGCTTTTCAATGTGAATTTGGTCGTGTCGCCCAAAAAGTTACATATAACTTAGCTGCTTTAATTACCATTTTTTGGAAGGAAAACTATTTCACTGATGTTGTAATTAATTATAAGTCATACTTCATAGCAATATGGAAACACTGGATAGTTACTTTAAAATAAATATGTTAACCTGTGTATGGGTGAGCTGCCTGACGTGTAAGAGATTAACCGTGTCTTCTTGACACACATACAACTACTACCAAAATACTTAGCTAGCTAAGAAAATGCAGTGCCATAAATCATCAAGCTACTTGCTCTAACGTTAGTTACAAAAAACGAGCTAACCATCGGATGAATTTTCTGACTAGCTAGCTAGCTAGCTAAGCCAGCTAGCCTCGCCTAAACCTACACTGTTTTAAGTATAACGCGTTACACGCGCTTGACAGTTATTTGGTGCTGTTCTCTCCGGTGGTATATTAAGCTAAATAACTTGCCAATTATGTCGTCACGAGTCAGTTTAACAAAACGGTTGTTATCTGTGGATGATGCGCCGTTTTCGCTGCCGATGTTTTCAAGATAATACCAGACCGAAGTTGCTTAGTCCGTGATGCGCCATGTTGTTTACAACATAGAAATTCATTTTTTTTTCTATGGTTTACAATACTGGAGCACCCAGCGCGAGAACTCCTGCCCTTTTGGTGTCACATGACCTACTCCCGCGAGAACAAGCTACCAAGTCAGTGAACTTGTGCCAGTGCATGTTGACAAGACATGTTGAAACTTGGATGTGTAGACCTCTGAAAATTCACCATATGCCTTCAAAACTCTAGACATGGATGGCATTCTCCACAGGAAAACTCTGAAATGAGGACATCCATAAAACCGCAGGGATAGCAACACATTATAATATGAAAAAGTATTTTAAAAATACAATAAATCATTTACATTTACATTACATTTACGTAATTTAGCAGACGCTCTTATCCAGAGCGACTTACAAATTGGTGCATTCACCTTATAGCCAGTGGGATAACCACTTTACAATGTTTTGTTTTTTTTTGGGGGGGGGGGGGGGGTGGGTTGGGGTAAGGGGGGGGGGGGGGGGGTAGAAGGATTACTTTATCCTATCCCAGGTATTCCTTAAAGAGGTGGGGTTTCAAATGTCTCCGGAAGGTGGTGAGTGACTCCGCTGTCCTGGCGTCGTGAGAGAGCAGCGAACAGTTTTGACTGGGCTGAGCGGGACCTATGCTTCCGCAGAGGTAGGGGAGCCAGCAGGCCAGAGGTGGATGAACGCAATGCCCTCGTTTGGGTGTAGGGACTGATCAGAGCCTGAAGGTACGGAGGTGCCGTTCCCCTCACAGCTCCGTAGGCAAGCACCATGGTCTTGTAGCAGATGCGTGCTTCAACTGGAAGCCAGTGGAGTGTGCGGAGGAGCGGGGTGACGTGAGAGAACTTGGGAAGGTTGAACACCAGACGGGCTGCGGCATTCTGGATGAGTTGTAGGGGTTTGATGGCACAGGCAGGGAGCCCAGCCAACAGCGAGTTGCAGTAATCCAGACGGGAGATGACAGGTGCCTGGATTAGGACCTGTGCCGCTTCCTGTGTAAATGTATGCACTCTGTCGCTCTGGATAAGAGCGTCTGCTAAATGACTAAAATGTAAATTATAAGGATGACATAAGGTGTAGCACTTTAGCTAGCACTTCCCCTAGCTGCCTTAACTAGCCTACTGTGATGCCTAGCATTGATTTGTTTCAAACCATGTGCAAATAACCAAAGAATGAAAAAACGGTGACGATTTCAAATAGGTATATAAACCAGAAAATTATCAAATCTATTTATTTTTTATATCTAAACAATTTCTGACATGAGCTGAATAATTGTTAGGTCGTTGTTACAAAACGGGAAATGTGCTTGTGTCTTATGATAACATTTTGATGTCATAATCGCATATGGTTGCTATAAAGTATTTTTTGTTAATATTTCTTTAAAATATATATTTTCTATATTATAGATATAGCTATACAACTATTTTAAATGTATGATTGCACAGGATCTTTTTTTTTTCATTTATGTCTTGTATTTCATTTGGCAAGGGAATTATATACTATACTAACTCAATGGAATTAGTTTATTAGTTTTTTTCAAGATTGGTAAGCAAGACAAGACCAACCACACATAGTGTGGCGATAAGAGGTTGGAAGACATTCCCATTCCCAATCATCCTATGTCCCCAGCAAGAATGGACCAAAACATGCTGAATGGCAGATGTAAGTATCATTCAGTGACTCTGCAAGTGATTGCTCTGATTTGACTGACTCCACATATGGACAGGTTGGTAGTTAATTATTCTTTAGAAGTGGTTGAATACCATGTACTAGGTCTATGACACCCAGACAGCACAGCAGGACATATTTTGAAACATCTGTCTTGTGAAAGCAGAATCAAGGGCACCAATCATAATTACTTTTCATTCTTTATTGTAATAACAAAAATATACCATATCATTTTTGTGTTAACCACTTTAATTAGATAAAGTTAAGGACATGCAGAATTTTCAGTGACATTTGTCAGCTACCTTCCAGCTACTATTTCTTACAATATATGTGCACTTAGTAATTTTGCATAGTGCTCTGGGCAGTATCTTTGCAGGTAGACATCCATTTTTCCTTGAACCCTCTGATCGCCAGACAGACCTAAAGGGGAGGGGAGAGCGTGAAATAGAGAAAAAATAAAGAAAATAGAAAATATTTTGAACATAAATATAACATACGAACAAAATGAACGGTAAGATGTGAAATTACAGCACGGAACAAAGTTGTAATAACATGGTAATGATATGGTAACAAGTTATAGTTACTCACATTGAAACGTTATTAGCCCAGATACCCCGTAATTTTAGTATAATTATATCCTTATTTCAGGGTTACACCACATACTTTGTGCCATAGTATAGATGGTAACAATACGGATCCCTTTTTCCAACCATCTTCCTTATTAAACTCTTATTTCATCCTTAAAGTCTTATAACACAAATTATTACCCTTAAACAATAATGTAATTATACTGAAATTAAGGGTTATGAATGTTTTTATTGTGAGTATAACTAATTTGTTACGTTACTATTTCCATGTTATTACCATTTTATTCCGTGCTGTAACGTAAAGTGCTACCAAATTATATTTTAGAAGACATTAGTACAATACATATATGCCATCAATCTGTATGATGCATGCTTTCTGGCAGAAACAACCATTACCATGAAAATGAAAATATAAAAAATAATAACAGCATAAATGACTGATACCCAGCATCCCCTGCTCACCCAGTCTTTGGGCAGTCTTTTCAATCTTCCTCAGTGCAGACTGAATGTCTTCTCTCTTTGGCACGAGAACCTCTATCTCCCCAACACAATAGCCAAAGTCGGCCTGGTCAAGGTCTACACGCACTCCACTTTCATCTCCTTCCCCCTCAAAAGTGAATGAACACCTCTGTGTTGTAAACTCTGCAAAGCAAACCAGATTCAGCTCCATCAGCCAGGAATCATTCCCTGTGGGGCAATTCTCTGCGCCTTCAGCTTTGGGTGTGTCTTGGTGGACCGCTGGGTGCATCTGGTCGGCAGTTTTTTGCTCCCCATTACCTTCTTTCATGACCTCTCTCACTTTCAATTGAATTTGAGAAAGATTGGTTATCTCCTGATAGCGTGAACACAGTTCTGCCTTCTGAGGCTCCCCCCCTCTGTCTTCTGCCTTCGTAACTGTGGTGCATTTGAGTTCCCAACATCCCTGGCGACAACGCAGCCACACATCTCTCAAGGTGAGAAGGAAGTCTGGGGTGTCATAATACTGATCTTGGAATTGTTTCTGACCAATACACACCGCTGGTGAGAGAAAAGTTGTAAGAAAGAGGGAGGGGTGCAGAGAAAATGTAGTACATATCATTTGAATGAATAGTTTTCACTGCTAAAAGTATGCAATTTTGTTAGTAATTTGTAAGTACAGTGAGAAATTATATCAAGTATGTATTAAAAATTAAATAAATCCCGATAAAACTAGATTAACATGGTAGTCTACATTTTAGCTTTCTTTACCAACCTTCATCAGCAGCATTCCACTAGAATGAATCTAGTAGTTAGCCCACATTATACATTAAAATAGTGTATTCTATATTGTAAGTAGCCTACATCAATCATATTTTTAAGTGTTTTTAATATAAAATCAAGAGTTATGGAGATGCCCTCTGGGCACAATGGTACAACTTGGAGGCTACACACCTCCTATCTCTTCCAATTGTTTCTGAATGTCAGCATCACAGACAAATTTCCTCTCCACTTCCACACTCATTGTACTCTGTAATGACACAAATTAATCAGCATCAAAATGCTCACTGTGATATAAATTCATCTAACAACTACACATAAATTCCATTTGGGAAATAGTATGTGGTCCCAATATTGGCCTTGCTGCCGTGTGGAAACGTAGCTACGATCTGTAATAAATACAGAGCGCGTGCAGGAGTAACACTAGATTAGTACATTAGCGTTATACATTTCATATAGGCTACCCCTCACCTTCAATTAACGATCTCTATTACGGATTCAACAGTCTTGTAAAATAGGTTCGAGATTGTTGATTGAGTTTTCCCTTAATCCCTGACAGCCGCAAGTATTTTAGACAGGCGCAGTATGGACACCTAGGTGTTTACTGCATTCCCGAGCATCATAGCCCGTCATAATAACGCAGAACAAGTACATTACAGAGATTGGAAAACCACTGTAGCACCTATGATCTATACTATTTGTATCTTTGTTATAACCATAATCCCCCATATTTCGTGAACAATTAAACTACTGTCATGCAGTACTACACAATAAGATGTACAGTAATATAAAAGGGTTTGGTGAACATACTGTAACAAGTGACCTAATTGGACAGGGGTTCTATAATGCCTAATTGGAAAGTGCCAATCTCATTCAATAGTTTACTGATGGATTCAGAAACAAAACAGCAACCAAATAGCTTTAATCAAACACATATATATGATTATAAATACATGTAAAACTTTACGCAACGTTTTATCTAGATACATGTCGTGATTGTTTAAAGTTTCAATCTGTAGGCTATTCGCCCTGCTTGTTAATTTTCATCCTAATCTGTTGACCCCATAGATATAGAGGATCAGGATTTGGGATATGAAATCTGATTCAATCCGGCTGATTGAATTCTACAAATGCTTTTTCAGATCAGTGGACATGGCTCTGGAGAAGCCCACTCTCAGCATGCTTCATCAATTAATGTAATTACATTAACCTGCAGAACTGGTTCGACGAGACAAATATTAGGCTATTTGAATCAACTAATATTATTACAGAAAGGTTTTATATTGACGCCAAATGTCTTCGTCCCTGCTGAATGTTAGCAATCAGCCTTGGGGGGAGCTGTCGTGTGTTTACTAGAGGGAAGAGGGGAAAGAGAGAGATAGGGCAAATGAGGGAGGGAGGGAGAGAACAGGCGAGGGAGGGCGAGCAAGATAAAACTTTTCAGTTTTAAAGAGCGAGAGGAAGCGTGCGCTGGAGCGGCGACCATGCAGGTAAATGCATTAGCTAATTGCGCTGAAGTTAATTAAACGATATTGGCGATGGCTTAATTGCGATTGTGTGTTTGAAAGATTTCTGTGCAAATGATAGTTTCAATCGAACGATGAATGTTGTATATCAAATGGTTCTATTCACCGAATTCGAACATTAAATTCCAAACTTTTCAACCTCCGTCTCCGTTTCTCTTCACCCCACCACCCCTTTTGCTGTGCGCAGTGTGCAAGTAGTCTGTTTCAAGTAGCTTAGCATTTGATTCTTTTGTCAATTATTGTACGAAGCCATCTAAAATGATTGTAAAGATGTTCATGAATACTAAATATTTTGGATAATGAAGCAGATCATTAAAATGTGTTCTCAGGTTTTGTGGGGGAGGAGGGGGCGCGAGGTTTTTTTACACATCTGTAAAGGGAACCCATATTCATTAATTAAATAGCTTAGTCCATGTAGGCCTCAATTTGCGCTGTTGAGCAGGCAGCGGGTGGTGTAATACTGGATCCCCGATTGGCAGCCCACAATCCGAACGTTAAGTGAAACACTCGAGGCCGAGGTTTCAGACGGAATAACTAAAGCCTACAGTATTTATATATTTGTAGTAGAACGTTATGCTTCAGAATGTGTAGCCATGTACACCTGGGCTTTTTTTTTTCCAGACTAGTTGAGGAAGGTTAAGAGTGCGACGGGTTAAGTTATCTTGCTAGCTAACGTTAGTAGGCTAAGTGCCACGACTGTTATTTTGGTCCTTTTGTTTAATTTCGCAACGTTAATGAATAGACAATGCGGTACGTATTTTCGAGTCTGTTTTTAACCGTGTTCATAATTGCAGGACACAGTTGGTGTGTTTCTTGCATTTCATAACATAAGATAGAAACAACTATTGCGACGTTGATAGCTTGGCTAACTAACGTTAGCTTGCTAGCTAATTGATTCAACGCTGTTCGGCGTAGCTAATTAGGCTGGACGTTTAATTAGCTTAAGAATCACGAGCATTGGCCATTTTTTATCAATACCGTTGTTATATAAAGCCTTAAACTATGTTTTATAACTCATTACACTTTCTCAACCATAAATAATCATGCAACCTTGCTGGTAAAACGATATTTTCTGGGCACGGCTAGATAATTGGTGTGGACGGAAGTGGGCAAATACAAGTGTTGGTATTTGGCATTTGTTTTTGTTTTTATCGCGCCTCGATTAATTTAGTATTATTCAAAGTTGGATCTTAATAATAGCGACGATGTAAGTCGTTTAGTCTAATCACAAAATTTCTGCCGAGTAGCATTGGAAAAGGACAACACTGCATTGAGTTCTCATGGTGAGGTATGTTGGCCATTAGGCTATTTTGTTAACGTTAATGTGTGTGTGATCAAATGTCCATTATTCGCTCATTAGTTATAAAGCGATATGATATTATGTTTTGCATGACACTAAATATCATACTAGTCTCTTAAATGTGCACAGTTAATGCTGGTCAAGGTCAATAATCAGGCCATTCACTTACGTTTTAATTGGAAGTGGTTTAAATGTTTCTTCGTGTCACATGACATTGCAATTACATGTAAGAAATATAAAGTATTTTTATTGCAGTCTTTTTACTTGTTAATTGGCAGTCCTCAGAGGAATGTAATTTGATGTTGATTAATTGATTTGGACCAAGTTTAATTGATACTATTCTTGGTAGGTCTAATGTAGCCTAAACAATTAGGCTAGGCTATATATTTATGTTATCTAATAGCATTCTAACTTGGATTACTTTCTGTTTAGGTTTATTTTTATTTCCAACATACTTAATGAAAATATTTGCACTGTATAGCTTATTTAATTTTTGTTCTACAGAGATACACCACTGGATATGGTAATGATTTAAAAGCAATATTTTTAAATCCACTAAAATACATTTTGATCTTGCAGGAGGAGTCAGGTGAGACAGTGTGCCGTGACAGCAACAGGGTGACGGTGTGGTTGTGTCCCCTGTGTCAACAAGGGTTACCAGACAGGGGCTCCCTTGCTCTGCACCTGAATGACGGACATAGTGTGCTTCCTAACTGTGTAGACAAGCTGCTGGACATTGTAAGTAGCGCTGTGCAAGTTCATTCTGGAATAGTATTTTCTTTTCCCATGTAGGATACATCACACAAATAAACAAAACTTGACTTTTGTGTCTTATGTTGATGTATTTAATGAATGATTCTTGGATGATGGCAAACATAATACATTAACAATTATTGTACATGCATTATTTGTATACGTTATTGTTATTGTAGTTTCCCAAAAGCCTCTTAAGGCTAAGTTCATCTTTAGAACCTTCGTAGGAACATTGTTAAATCTCCGAGCTGTTTCCCAAAACCATCGTTACTAAAGCTGCATTTGAAAACGCTTGTTATTTACGGACTGCCTTAGACCACTCGTAGAACAGCTAAGTCCGTTGTAAGATGCGTTTTTTCTCTCTAACGCGCCACTTTTATACATAGTTCTCCACTAAACAGAATCAATATGTTGCTTTAAAAGATAAATAGCCTACAGTATAAGCTACATAGGCCTATATAATTAAATAATATTTAAATACATTTCATGTTCATTCGAGTTCTATTTTGCTAATTGTAGGCTACAGTCTATAATTTTGCCTCAATATATTTAATGATGCGTAACAACGTGTGCAATGTGCCAAATCTTGATTTACTGCATTATTATAGGGTAAGCATTAGAATAAGCCGCCTCAATATTTTCAGCCATAGGTGATATCATTCTAGGAGCTGATCCGTCGTCAGTTTTGTGGAATAATTGAAATGTTAAGGTAAGATTTTAATTGAGAAAGCTGATCCGAGAGCATCGCTGCCTTTCGATCCTATCAGAATCGACACATGCCTCAACAATGCACTTTTTTAAAATTTTATTTTTATTTAACCAGTTAAGCCAGTTGTGAACAAGTTCTCATTTACAACTGCGACCTGGCCAAGATAAAGCAAAGCAGTGCGATAAAAACAACAACACAGAGTTACATATGGAATAAACAAAACGTACAGTCAATAACAAAATAGAAAATCTATATACAGTGTGTGCAAATGTAGTAAGTTATGGAGGTGAGGCAATAAATAGGCCATAGTGCAAAATAATTACAATTTAGTATTAACACTGGAATGATAGATGTGCAGAAGATGATGTGCAAATAGAGATACTGGGGTGCAAATGAGCAAAATAAATAACAATATGGGGATGAGGTAGTTGGGTGGGCTAATTACAGATGGGCTGTGTACAGGTGCAGTGATCGGTAAGCTGCTCTGACAACTGATGCTTAAAAGTTAGTGAGGGAGATAAGTCTCCAGCTTCAGAGATTTTTGCAGTTCGTTCCAGTCATTTGCAGCAGAGAACTGGAAGGAATGGCGGCCAAAGGAGGTGTTGGCTTTGGGGATGACCAGTGAGATATACCTGCTGGAACGCATACTACGGGTGGGTGTTGCTATGGTGACCAATGATCTAAGATAAGACAGGGATTTGCCTAGAAGTGATTTATAGATGACCTGGAGCCAGTGGGTTTGGCGACGAATATGTAGTGAGGGCCAGCCAACGAGAGCGTAAAGGTCACAATGGTGGGTAGTATATGGGGCTTTGGTGACAAAACGGATGTCACTGTGATAGACTACATCAAATTCGCTGAGTATAGTGTTGGAAGCTATTTTGCAAATGACATCGCCGGAGTCAAGGATCGGAAGGATAGTCGGTTTTACGAGGGCATGTTTAGCAGCATGAGTGAAGGAGGCTTTGTTGCGAAATAGGAAGCCGATTCTAGATTTAACTTTGGATTGGAGATGCTTAATGTGAGTCTGGAAGGAGAGTTTACGGTCTAACCAGACACCTAGGTATTTGTAGTTGTCCACATATTCTAAGTCAGACCCGCCGAGGGTAGTGATTCTAGTCAGGCGGGCGGGTGCAAGCAGCATTCGATTGAAGAGCATGCATTTAGTTTTACTAGCGTTTAAGAGCAGTTGGAGGCCATGGAAGGAGTGTTGTATGGCATTGAAGCTCGTTTGGAGGTTTGTTAACACAGTGTCCAATGAAGGGCCAGATGTATACAAAATGGTGTCGTCTGCGTAGAGGTGGATCTGAGAATCACCAGCAGCAAGAGCGACATCATTGATATACACAGAGAAAAGAGTCGGCCCAAGAATTGAACCCTGTGGCACCCCCATAGAGACTGCCATAGGTCCAGACAACAGGCCCTCCGATTTGACACATTGAACTCTATCTGATAAGTAGTTGGTGAACCAGGCGAGGCAGTCATTTGAGAAACCAAGGCTATTTAGTCTGCCAATAAGAATGCAGTGGTTGACAGTCGAAAGCCTTGGCCAGGTCGATGAAGACTTGGCGAATGTTCTCTCTGCGTGGTGTTTTGGGAAACGCATGCTATATCTGCAGCCGTTGTAGGAAATATGCATCGTTAAAACATCGCTATCCGGAAACCGGGCCTAGGATGTGATGACACAAAACAATGCAACTTCCCTTAGGGCAATTAGTAGAGGTTCTCTGGTTATGTGAAATAATGCAAAATCATAGAATGAGTCACCAATTTGTACCAAGATGCTCTCTTGTTGGACTGCAACACTAAGCAGCGAGTTCCTGTGTCAGCAAAATTGAGTCTTAAGGTAAAGTTTCCTTGACATATTTTTCGTAATGAAGTTTTCTTCTCTCTTTACCAGGCTGCTCCCAAACAGGGGGCGAGTGGAGTGGACGGGGACACTGATGTTAAGCATGACGCAGGCGAGTTTGTCCTCTGATTAATAGCAGTACCTACGGTTTTGTCTGTCTTTATGAATTTATTTGAGTTATGGATTATTTGAATAGATACAAGCACATTTACATATTGAGTAGCCTAAACAATTAGCTTGTGTTCATTTTAAACGCCTGTCCCTAGAAGGTTGTTACACCTACAAGTATCAATATGCTATGACTGTATTTGTGTTGTTAGTTAATCAGGTTCTGTCAGGGTTCCATCGACCAAAACAGCTGCTGAAATGTCTTGTCTTTCTGTTTCATATCAGATGCTGCATCATTACAACTGAAGCTTTTAGAAGCCTCAGCCTCCCTCTCAGACCCATGTCAAATTAATGAGAACACTGAAGGACCCCAGCATTACCACAGTAGGCACACTCTCATTGGGTCTGGAGACAAAGATAAAGAGATGGATAAGGAAGTAGAGGGAGTGAGAGACCCGGAGGGAGGTGGAGTTGTTTTGGGGTCGGATCAGGAGAGAGATCAGTCCACAGAAACACCTGACGACAATGAAAAGTCCACAGGAAAAAATGGTGTACTGGCTGATGGCGATGACAGCCGTCCATTCAAGTGTAATGCGTGCTTAGAGGCTTTTCCTACCAGGACCGCATTGTGTGTTCACTACAACTCTGCATCCCATGTGCAACAGATGAGAACAGGATCCCTAAAACAGGGTGGAGAAAATGACACCCCTGCTCCCTCAGTCCCTTTTCTGTCTCGGCCATATTTATCAAACAAGCCCTACCAGTGCGCTGTGTGTCGAGTCTCTTACAACCATGCCATTACCCTGGAGAGTCATTTGAAATCTGTTTTGCACCAGACCCGCAGCAGAAATGCAGGAATCTCTGCCAACAGTGCAACTGGAAATTCGGGAAGCAACAACATGGCTACAAACTTAGTTGTTACCTCTGGGGGCAGCACTGCACAGTTGGTTAGCCCCACCAGCAGCAATTGTGTCACCCCGGCAAGCCTGACAGCAGCAGCAATGACAACCAAAGACGGAGAACCAATTCAAACCCAGCCGGCTCCCTCACTGCTTTCCTCCCCTGTGGCCTCTGCTCAGGCAGTCTCTGCCTTTCTCACCCTTCTCACGTCCAGCCCAAGCTCTCTCTCGCACTCCCTCCTCCCCTCTCTGTTTGCGGCTGGGGCGTCCCCTGCCACACCTCAACTCATACCCCAGCATCAGATGCTCATGCCCTTTATCGTGAATGGGCTCCAAACACAAAGCCAGAGTCTAAACCCAGAGCTTTTGACACAGTCTGTACCCCTTCTAGGTCTCAATGCTGCCCAGCAAGCTATCCTGGCCCAAAGACTCAGTAGCTTACAGAACCAGTGGCCAACTGTCAGCCTCCAAGCAACCACACAAACCTGTTCAGAAGACAACCAAACAAACAAGAGCAAATTGAAGGAAGAGACGAACGAGACAACAATTGAGGAGAAAGTGTCACTGAAGGCTGGGAAGGGGAAACATTGGCCTCTGGAATGTGATGATGGAGAAAGAGAGATTTGTGAGGAGGAGGATAGTAAGGGATATGCGCAAGAGCTCATCAGCGCCTTAGTAAGCAAAAATAACAGGGTTGAGTCGTGTAGGATAGATGGAGATAATGAAATGAATGATGGCACAACAGACAAAGGGAACTCTGCAGATGGAAAAGGGGGGGACATTGACAAGTGTATTGACCGCTCACCATCTGTTACCAGCAACTCAAGCATGAGTCCTACCACATTAAATCTTATGCTTAGCCCTGATTGTACTCCTCAAAAATCTCAAGTTGGCACAAGCCCTTGTGCCTCTGTCTTGTCACCAAAATTGAGCCCCTTTAAACGCGCCTTAAATTCCCCTGATCCAACTCGTCCCCATGCTAATTGGAGGGCTCGGCACTTCTCCCAAGGCCCCCCGATACTGTCAGAGTTCCAGATACAGGTTCTGCATGCGTTTCTGGAGTCTCGTAGTGGGACTGACGCAGCCAGTCCTCCCCATGATGACTGTGAGTCGTTGGGCAGGGAGGTGGGGCTCACCGAGGCGGAGGTACACAAGTGGCTCACTGACGCCCAAAGCGCCAAAGAAAGGCAGAAAGGTGGGGGTGCAGGGTACATGCGCAGCATTGCAGCCTACAATAAAAGATACAAGCGTCTTGATAACGAAGAGGATGGAGGTGCTCTTACAATAGATGGGCCTGAGGGTGGGGACAGCGGTGGGGCCTCTGGCAGTCACGCAATGGATTTGTCCAATAGTGGACGAAGGCGGAATGAGTTGGGGAGGGAGAGCCAAGGGGACTCTTGTCTGGCCTCTGACTCAGGCAATGAAGAATTCTACACCTCTGTCATCGTGAGTGAGGAGGACAGCCTGAGTGGCTCCATGAGGGAGGGGCCAGGCAGCCCTGCTAAAGAGGAGGCTCTGGTAGAACTGGCAGAAGACAAGGGCTCAGGAGGAGGAAAGGTACTGCGCTCCACCACTGTGTTTCTCTCGGACGCCGAGGATGACTATGATGACGAGGAGGCTGCAGCTCAGAGAGCAAAGAGGAGAAAGAGGAAGAGGGAGTTGGAGCGGGAAGAGGTGGAGGTCAAGAAGGAGAGATTAGACCCCGACGTGGATTTGGAACTGGAGGCCCAAGCTGATCCTCCTTCCCAACTTTCTATCGCCATTGACCAACGAGGCCTTCCAAGTGGCATTCTACACTCCCTCCCTCTGTCTTTGTCCCTTGCTCCATTCTCTACTCAGTTCCTTAGCCCCTATGTTCTCTCTCTCCCTCCCTCAGTGGTTGGCCTCGGAGTTGCAGAAGGAGATGGAGGCAAATTACCTGCCTTTCCAAACCCCCCTAACATCACCCGGTTCTCTGACCCTCTCATTACATCACACCTCTCCCTCCATACCCACACCTCCCACTACATGTCTAATGGTGGAGACTGTGAGGCTGCTTTAGATCTCAGCATCAGGAAAAGACACAGCTCAACATCTGCTTCCTCCACGTCTCTCATGGGTGACAAGACTTCAGCACAAAAGGGCCGTCTGCTTGACGGGCTCGGTCTAAGGCCCACAGCTTTTGGGTTACCTGAGGAAGGGAGACTCGGTGTGGTCAAGGTCAAACCTGAGCAAGCAACTTCCAACAGCAGTGGCTTTGCCAGTGGCAATAACATGGCCAAGGCCAGCACTGTTTACATGAGGGCAGCAGAGAGGTTGAACACCTCCATAATTGAGAGAGAAAAGGAGAGAGAGAGGGAAAGGGAAAAAGAGGAGAGGGACCAGAAAGGCAGGCCCAAAGCACGACGGTACAGGGACATGAGACGTTCCAGGACCATCATCCAGGCTGAGCAGCTCGATGTGCTTTATGGTTGCTATTTCAAAGATCCAAATCCTGGGAAACATGAGTTTGAGCAGATATCAGAGTGGGTCCATCTCCCAAAGAAAGTTGTACAGATCTGGTTCCAGAACATGCGGGCTAGAGAGCGCAAGGGTGAGGTTCGCTTCGTCAGTGATGGCACTCTGGCAGCAGTTGGCAAACCACTCATCAAGTTCACCTGGCCACTGTCACAACCCATCTTCTCCAGCACCCCCAAATCAAACACCAACAGCAGTGTGTCTACTGGAGCCAATCCAGTACAGGCCCTCCCAAAAATGGAGGTGAAGAAGGAGGAAATTGTCAAAATCAAAAACCAAGTTCCAAACAGGCCCAAGGAGGTGGCCTCTTCCGTTTCCTCCATGAGCAGCAGTGTGTCTGCAGTGCCAAAGACCAAAATGGAGATGACAAACAATGTCACAATGGTCAAAATCGCCCCCAAATGCATCGCTCAGTCTCTCCCTGTCGTACCCAAGGAGACCCGTCCTACCCCGCCTCGCCCTCCTCCCAAACATGCACCTGAAGAGGAAGTTGGGGAAAATGACTCCGATGAGGAAGTGGATGATCATAACCAAGAGAAGCCACTAGCTGGGCCTGGCTCCACCAACCGCATGGTACCAAAAATGCCCTCCACTCCAATTAGCAAGTCCCTTGCTGCAACATCTCAAAAAAAAAATGGGCTCAACTACTGGTCGGCCAAGGGCCCCTTTAAGATCAACACGCTTTCTAGGGAACAGTTGGGTCTGTCAACCCCCCGTACTCCCACAGTTGTCGGCGCCACTGCTGCCACCGCTGCGCTCAGTATTTCTGCTGCTGCCTCTGCTGCTGCTTCTACCGCTGCAACCACCACCACCACGACAGCAAGCGCAAGCCCTCAGACCACTGTCAGCATTGTCACCATCGCCAAGACTGCTCCATCGGAGAGTAGCTTCCTGCACCACTCCACCACCCGCAGGCCGCGCACACACCTGTCCTGCCTGCAGCTGTCCATCCTGCAGTCTTGCTATGAGACGTGTGCCCACCCTAACGCGCTGGAGTGTGAGGCAATAGGGACGGAGCTGGGGCTGCCGCTCAAGGTGGTGCAGATCTGGTTCCAGAATACCCGCGCCAAGGAGAAACGCTGGAGGCTGCAGCAGGAGAAACTGGTGAGACATTTGACTGTATAGTATGTAATGCATTGGTGTGTGAAGTTGTTCATATTTTCTGTACTTTAAAGGCCGGTTTCCCAGACACAGATCTGCTGTGCATATCTCTAGGACTAGGCTTAATCTGTGTCTGGGCAACTGTCCCTAAAACTTTGCTCCTTGTCTAGAAGTGTGTATATGTACAGTACCAGTCAAAAGTTTGGACACACCTACTCATTCAATGTGTTTTTCTTTATTTTTACTATTTTCTACATTGTAGAATAATAGTGGAGACATCAAAACTATGAAATAACGGATGAAAATTTATGATAATAATGGAATCATGTAGTAACCAAAAAAGTGTTTAACAAATCAAAATATATTTTATATTTGAGATTCTTCAAAGTAGCCACCCTTTGCCTTGATGACAGCTTTGCATACTCTTGGCATTCTCTCAACCAGCTTCACCTGGAATGCTTTTCCAACAGTCTTGAAGGAGTTCCTACATATGCTGAGCACTTGTTGGCTGCTTTTCCTTCACTCTGCGGTCCAACTCATCCCAAACCATCTCAATTTGGTTGAGGTCGGGGGATTGTGGAGGCCAGGTCATCTGATGCAGCACTCCATCACTCTCCTTCTTGGTCAAATAGCCCTTACACAGAATGGAGGTGTGTTTTGGGTCATTGTCCTGTTGAAAAACAAAACAAATGATAGTCCCGCTAAGCCCAAACCAGATGGGATGGTGTATCACTGCAGAAGGCTGTGGTAGCCATGCTGGTTAAGTGTGCTTTGAATTCTAAATAAATCAGACTGTCACCAGCAAAGCTCCCCCACACCACCTGCTTCATGGTGGGAACCATACGTGGAGATAATCTGTTCACCTACTCTGCATCTCACAAAGACACGGCGGTTGGAACCAAAAATCTCAAGGTTGGACTCATCAGACCAAAGGACAGATTTCCACTGGTCTAATGTCCATTGCTTGTGTTTCTTGGCCCAAGCAAGTGTCTTCTTTTTATTGGTGTCCTTTAGTAGTGATTTCTTTGCAGCAATTCGACCATGACGGCCTGATTCATGCAGTCTCCTCTGAACAGTTGATGTTGAGATGTGTCTGTTACTTGAACTCTGTGAGGTGCAGTCTGAGGTGCAGTTAATTGCCGATTTCTGAGGCTGGTAACTCTAATGAACTTCTGGGCCTTCCTTTCCTGGGGCGGTCCTCATGAAAGCCAGTTTCTTCATCAGCGCTTGATGGTTTTTGCGACTGCACTTGAAGAAACTTTCAAAGTTATTGACATTTTCCGGATTGACTGACCTTCATGTCTTTTAAAGTAATGGACTGTCGTTTCTCTTTGCTTATTTGAGCTGTTCTTTCCATAATACGGATTTACCACCTCTACCTTGTCACAACACAACTGATTGACTGAAACGCATTAAGAAGGAAATAATTCCACAAATTAACTTTTAACAAGGCACACCTGTTAATTGAAATGCATTCCAGATGACTACCTCATGTAGCCGGTTGAGAGAATGCCAAGAGTGTGCAAAGCCTGTCATCAAGGCAAAGGGTGGCTACTTTGAAGAATCTCAAATATAAAATATATTTTGATTTGTTAAACATTTTTTTGGTTACTACATGATTCCATATGTGTTATTTCATAGTTTTGATGTCTTCACTATTATTCTACAATGTAGAAAGTAGTAAAAATAAAGAGAAACCCAGGAATGAGTAGCTGTGTCCAAACTTTTGACTGGTACTGTACGTTGAGGTAACTCACCAGTGACCTTTTTCGGCTTTTTGTTAACATGTATTTCAGAAACCACTGTTGGAGTAACGTCTTTATCTCTCTGCCCCTCTCTCTCCCTCTTCTAGTCTCCAATGTCGTCAGATCCCTCCAAGAAGGTTGACATGAGCTCAGGCAGCTATCTGCAGTACAACGCTCTGCGAGCCCACCGTCCTATCCTTCCCAAACCGGTTCAGCTGACTGTCCTGGAGCCCTCTTCTCCCCCAGCCAGGGGCCAGCCTGCAGGTCGAGAGACGCTGAGAGGCAGGTGCGAGGCCTGCAATGCAGGCTTTGAGTCCAGAGCAGCAGCAAGATCCCATGTCTTCTCCCCTCGACATCTAGCCACTCTGAGAACCACTAACTTTGGCCAGCCGGCGACCATAATCAACAACGGATCTGATACCGGGTCCAGTTCTGTCTCCGCCTTAGGGTCTGTTGTGGAGGACCCTCCAGCTTCCCCAACCCCACCCCCAGCCAGCAGCATCAGCTAAGGCACCCGTCAGTGCTGGTAAAGACTCAGGACCCATTGGGCTCCTTACATTTTAATAAACAGAAATTGGGCACTGGTCTTCCAAGCTAATATTCTTTGGTTTCCGATGTTTGGAAAGGCCCTGTCGCCCTTGCTCCCTCTCATTGGACGTCTTTCTGCCGAGTTCTTGTTTCCAAACTGGACTCATTTGGATACACTGCTTCACGCTTCATCAAAAGTTATCAAATGACTGATGAACATGTACCAGTCCCCTTTTGATATTTTCCTGGCCTGCAGTTATAATCCTTGTTGTCTCATCCTTGTCCTTAAAATTACTCTTACAATACTTGTGTATTATCCCCTGAAGACTGTGCTTATGCAAAACGATTAGGCCATTATATGACTGATTGCAAGATTCTTATCCTCATAAGTGCTCCTAGAAATTGGTGTTTTTAAAAGTGGACCAGGCACTTGTGTTTGAGACGGGGTCCGATATTACATTTCCTGCAGTATACTTCTTCCCAAGTCATTTGACCAGAACAAATGAGAAGTAGCTCTGTTTTAGTGGCTTTGAACTCAAGCAGTCTTGATTTGATCTGTATCAACACCTTTTTGTTACGATACAGGTGGAGTGTTCAATTAGAGGAGAAGGTGTATTTCACTTTACTTGGATTTTAAAGGTACTTTTAACTGGTTGTGACTAGAATTGGCTTGTTAAACTGAACAGATTATTATCCCCTCCTGTAAACACATTGTCTGCGGCTGAAATGGCATCCTATTCCCTATATAGTGCACTACTTTTGACTAGAACCCTATGGGACTAGAGACCAACTCACTCTGTTCTCATGACAATCCTCTATAGATGGGCGGGGGGGGGGGGGGGATGAGAGGCTGAAGAGGGCAGACTCATTATACAGCACTTTTATGTGTTTCACATTGTATGAAACGTTTTTATTCTGAAGCATTCTTATGCAGAGCGTCTTTCTACTTAATGAAATATGCGCATGTTGGATGTCTTATGGTAAGTCACAATAATTAAATTGAAACATTGTTTTTTGATAGTTGCAGTCTGTCAGGAAAAAGGTATGTATTGGCTCATTAAACACCAAACAAAAGGCGGATCAGACCTTACTGCCGTGCAAGGAGTCTCTTAGTCCAGACACTATTGTTGAATTATTTCCTATTAATTCACTACTGGTGTGCAAGATCTATTGAATGAGTATGTGGAGCAAGAAAATTGTATATTTCCTCCCTTTTTCTTATTTGGTCAATTAAAATATCCACAACGGATCATTCCATAAGATTGGAACAAGTGCTATTGCTTATAACCATCAATATACATCAACTTCCTGTGGAGGTCAAATGAAACAGATTTGACAAAGATAAGAAAAGAACAGGATTTGAATTTTGGGGGTTTAATTTATATTTCTTTGTCTTTAAACATATGTGGTTGCAAGCTAATACTTGTCATCTTTGTACCGGGTAGAAATAATGCAACTAGTCCAGAAACCAAGAGAGGGGAGTCAGTTGGGTACTCTAGTCACCTTTTGTAAGCAATCGGGACGTACAAAAAGTCAAGACGGAGCTAACAAAGAAGGTGCTGTTTTGAAGGACGCATAAAATACTAAATATGTTTTTCCTTCGGTTTTATGTTGTATATTATTGTTATTAATAATGTTACTATTAATAGTTTTAACAAAATGCAAAATTAAATGATTTTTTAAAAAGAAATATATTACGAAAAACTGATATTCCAAAGTTATCCTTCCTTTTGCTTTCTGTCATTTAAAAAAACCAAAAAGCAATCTTGAGGTTGACAGAGAGCAGGAGAGATGTTCTTCATGCAAACTGTAAAGGAACTTCCATGTCTTGACACTTGAGCCAGTCCAACATTTTTACCATGAGCTACAGATTAATTAATTTCAGCCTTCACAACATGGGGAAGGCACTTGATTGGGCTCAAAGACTAAAAGTTTTAAAATGTCCTTCATAATTACTAATGGTTTTTTAATGGTGTTGAGCTGTAGCTTTTGTCTAAAACAAGGACTGGGTTGCAGTGCTTCAAGTATGGGATTACACGGTGTTGCACTGTCCAAGGTAGATAGGTTTTATGGAGATCTGCTTTTTATTCTAATCATTTTTCATTGTCACTTGATTATCACTATTGTTATAACTGTACTACTTCTGCTATTGTTATCATTACTCTCATCACTGTTTTGATTATTATTGACCCATAACGGTTTTTATGATGCCTCTTTTCTCAAGAAAGATGGTATTGGTATGAATATTGAACAATAATGGTGGCAGTGTGTTATAAGATGTTAGAATATTGATTAAGCTTATATTTTTCCTCACTTGTACTTTCATTTTGTGTTGGATCTCCATTCAGTTTTCTTTTGGTATACAGAAAACAAATAAAATCAATTGAACAACAAAACTGGTCTACTTAGCATGTTATGGGTATGTGAATTAGGTTAATTGCTTGGTAAATGAATTTCACTAGTCCTTTGTAATAGGCTTGTCCTTGTTATCATAGCCAAGAGAATTGATGTATTTGTAAATTCATGATGAACCAATAGCATATTTGCCTTTTTGCCATGTTAGTACTCATTTATCAATAACGTGTAAGCACAAATCTGTGCATAAACCATGCGTGGGAAAATGTCCACGCAAAGTGTGAGATTTATCAATATGAACGTTGGCTTGAGTGTGTACATTTACACACAGCCATGACCATTTGTACGCACAGTGCCAAGTGGTAGAATAAGGGAACCGCTTGTCAAGCGTAGAATGGGGAAAATAGGTTTTAAAATTGTGAGTAATAATTCAATCATTTTTCCATTTCATTGTATTTGCATTGTGAATGCAACGTATCTTTGACATGCTATATATATACTGAACAAAAATATAAATGCAACAATTTCAAAGATTTTACTGAGTTACAGTTCATATAAGGATATCAGTCAATTGAAATAAATTCAATAGCTCCTAATGTATGGATTTCACATGACTGGGCAGGGGTGCAGCCATGGGTGGGCCTTGGAGGGCATAGGCCCACCCACTTGGCAGCAACGCCCAGCCAATCAGAATGGGTTTTCCCCCACAAAAGGGCTTTTTTACAGACAGAAATACTCCTCAGCACCCCATCCCCCTTCAGACGATCCGGCAGGTGAAGAAGCCGGATGTGGAGGTCCTGTGCTGGCGTGGTTACACGTGTTCTGCCGTTGTGAGGCCGGTTGGACGTACTGCCAAATTCTCTAAAACGATGTTGGAGGCAGCTTATGGTAGAGAAATTAACATTCAATAATCTGGCAAGATCTCTGGTGGACATTCCTGTAGTCAGCATGCCAATTGCACGCTCCCTCAAAACTTGAGACATCTGTGGCATTGTGTTGTGTGACAAAACTGTGATATTTTAAAGTGGCCTTTTATTGTCCCCAGCACAAGGTGCACCTGTGTAATGATCATGCTGTTTAATCATCTTCTTGATATGCCACACCTGTCAAGTGGATGGATTATCTTGGCAAAGGAGAAATGCTCACTAACAAGGATGTAAACACATTTGTGCACAACATTTGAGATAAATAAGCTTTTTGTGTGTATGGAACATTTCTAGGATCTTTTATTTCAGCTCATGAAACATGGGACCAACACTTCACATGTTGCGTTTATATTTTTGTTCAATGTAATTTGACCACATCAGTGCATTTGTTACATAATAATCCATATACAGTACAGTAATTTGTTAAATTAGAGGTATGTGTGAAATTGAAACCATTGTTGAAATACTATAATAGACTGAGATAATGGGAAATCGAATGAGAGATGGCTGATCTTGCTTGATTTGGCACACGCTGCATTTCGCAGAGAGGGCGTTTTAAGAGACAGGTGGGACTTTTTCTGCAGAAAGTACATATTGGTTTATCAGATATAATTTCCCTAAACCAATTTTATAGGGTTATTGCGAGGATTTAAGACCTACTTTAAGAAGGCAAACACATGCCACTCCGGTGCACATTCAAGTGGACCATTAGGACAATTAAGTTGCTTTAGCAATGGCAAATATACTTCAAATGAGTAGGCAACACTCATCAATAAGCATCCATCTCCAACAGCTCATGTAGGCGTTTAGGTCAATTTAGCTGTTCTGCAGAATGAAGGAGTCGTGCGTTCCACATTGCCGCTACATTCAGCAGCGTCTTTTGCGCATCACATAACCTATCACCTGCACATAAAGAGTGGAAGCCTTTTCTCCATTCATATTTGAGAACCCATTGATCCCCTCTTGACTTAATTAAACCTGTTGTGCGATGCTGTATGGAAATGGTATGTTACAGTTCGCTTTGCTGATGATTGCATCCGAAACATTGGATCATCGACGGATGTGAGATGCGGATTGGCAAGCTCCCGCTTAAAAGTGTCGTTGCCAAAAACCCTAGGGTGGATAGCAGTTTGATGTGCACCGGAATGGCATGTGTTTGCCTGTCTAAAGTAGGTCTTAAATCCTCGCAAAGATCCTATAAGATTGGTTTTGGGAAACGATATCTGATGAGCCAATCTGTACTTTGAAAAAAAGCCCCACTTGTCTCTAAAAACGCGCTCTCTGCTAAAAGTAGCGTGTGCCAAATCTTCCAAGAGAGCAAGATCAGCCATCTGGCATTCGATTTCCCATTATCTCAATCTTTTTAAAATAGTATTTCAACAATGGTTTCACTTTCACACATGCCTCTAATTTAACAAATTACTTTACTTTATATGGATTATTATCGTAACCAAATGCACTGATGTGGTCAAATTATACATAGCCTATCAAGATACAGTATGTTGCATAAATTCACAATGGAAATACAATTACATCGGAAAATAATTTAATTATTAGGCCTACTCTCACCATTTCCAACACCTTTTCCCCATTCTACGTTTGACAAGCAGTTCCACCACTTGGCACTGTGCATACACATGGTCATGGCTGTGCGTAAATTTACGCACACTCTCAAGCAAACGTTCATATTGATAAATCTCACACTTTTCGTGGAAATTATCCCACGCATGGTTTACGCACAGATTTGTGCCTATGCATGATTGATAAATGAGGCCCCTGGGCTTTTGGCATGGATGGTAGAGCTCTTGTCTCTGGACCGCAGGATAGTACAATCGCACCCAACTACTGTACTTCTGTATACATCAGTCGGCTACACTGGTGGCAGAGGTGGGATGCCTATTGGGCCTTTGTGAAAGCTCATTTGGATACGCCTATGGGGCCTGGGCACGTGGACGCAGTAGCATAGGGTGATGATAGTGCTACTGCCTGTGAGGAGCTCTCAGTATACATCGGTCGTCTGCAGTTAGATATTTACAGTTATTAAACAGCCAGCCATTTAGTTTTTAGATTACAACCTAATCTGCAACCTGATCTGGTAGTATAATAATGGTATAAATTACATTTAGCAATGTGCTTTATTCACAAAGCTTTCTCTCACTACACGTTTCTTGCAGTAACATCAATCACCACCATTTCTGAGGATTTTTGTCATTTTTATTATTTCAATATTGAAAGTGTGCATTGCTGCCAGTGAAAGGTCATTGAGGTGGATTCACCTGACTCGAAGGTGTCACACTAGTTGCAAAGATTTATATAACTAAACCAAGATAGACCACAGCATATCGTTTCCAATGGGAACAAATTAGTTATAGTGGGCAGAACACGCAAGGAGGTGTGCAGAGCCAAGCACGAGCAAGCGAGATCCTATTGGCCAGTTCTAGCATGCGTCGGCATATTTCCGTTAGGGAACGCCTACTATGTGAAGTACGCGTGTTCATTAACTCAATTCGCCTTTGCACTCCTTCTAAATAACGCGATTTAAAAAAACATGTTGGCAAAGGGTAAAGTGTACAAGACTTAGTCCACTCTATTCATAACAGATTCTAGTTTTGGGAACAGAAAACTGTATTGAGATCAAACATTTTATCGATGAGAAATTTGGCAGAATGTTAGTCAAAATCATCTCCTTCCATCTTTTCCAAATGCCGGGCACTGGGCTTCTTCTCAAATCAAATCAAATCAAATTTTATTGGTCACATGCGCCGAATACAACAGGTGCAGACATTACAGTGAAATGCTTACTTACAGCCCTTAACCAACAGTGCATTTATTTTAAACAAAAAAAGTAAGAATAAAACAACAACAAAAAAGTGTTGAGAAAAAAAGAGCAGAAGTAAAATAAAGTGACAGTAGGGAGGCTATATATACAGTAAAATAAAGTGACAGTAGGGAGGCTATATATACAGGGGGGTACCGTTGCATAGTCAATGTGCGGGGGCACCGGCTAGTTGAGGTAGTTGAGGTAATATGTACATGTGGGTAGAGTTAAAGTGACTATGCATAAAGTGACTATGCCTTCTCACTACCATATTTGGTAGTTTGTGGAAACGCGAAGCGGATGCTTCACATTTATACATCTGGTGAAATATCTGAAAATACAGTCATAGGTCGAAAGACAAATGGGGTTGGCTTTGTATTTGACAGATTTCTTATCGAATCAGAGTTTGAAGTGTAAGGCAAAATTGGTAGGAACGCATAAATGTGCTGCCATTTATCCAATAGACGCCAGGAAATTACGGTAGAAGGTGTGTCTACAATGCTTAACTGACTAATAAGATTGCGAGTTTACGCCCGCAGTACGTAACTCCACCCCCGACTTCCATTTCTGAAGTGAGGACACGGCGCTCTGAAGTGAATCTTCGATTTTATGTATATTTCTTAATGTAAATAAACTGTAACGTTAGGCTCTCTGCTGAAAATTCGATACAGAAAACTGAAGTAGCCTGTGCAATTGTAGTTGGAACCCGTTCGGACAGTGGCTAGAGTCGAAGCTGGCCTTTTATTTCAGGTTTTAACTTTCCTAAGCGGCGTTTTCCGCCGTTTTTTTCTTTCGCCCCACTCACTCTCCAGCTGTGTGAGTAGGGGCCTGTAACGTTGCTTTAAGCCACGAGGCGCGTCGGATAAGCCGGAATTGGGAGATGGCGGAGTTCGGTAACGGAATGGACTCGGGGATGACGGAGGAATCCCTGCTGGACTCAGACCCAGGGCACCCAGAACTAGAAGACCCGGGTGTTGGCGATGAGGAACCGGGATTAGAGGAGGGAGAGGCCGCGATCGAGGACCCGGTAAGTGAAGAACATAGTTTATGCCCAAAACCTCACTCAAATTGAGATAATACATGTGTATTGTACAATAGAGATTGCGGGTGTAAATACGTTATTTTAAGCTGCAATCAGCTATATTATTATTCCCCGTGGTGTGTCATTTATCTCCTGGTCGATAACCGACATTGTGGCTTAGTACAAATGGGTGGTGACATGCGTGATTTTGGCGGCCATGTTGGCGCAGCAGCGGTGGTAGTTTCTCTGCGCCAGTGCTGTCGACCTAGTGGGGAAAAAAAATATTCGTCGCAAAAATGCAAGACGGAGATGTCGACAGGGGCGAGGGTAGGACAGGCCGCCATTAGCCGCGGTATTGCGAGTCCATCCGCAGACACGGTGAGAGCTCACGGTAAACACGCCTCCTTTATTTTCTCAAACGCTGACAGCTGCTGAAATGGAAGCGCTGATGCGCATACTGAACATGATCGTCAACTCCGTGAAAATTAAGTGTTGACTAGTAAACACGCGTTGTAATGTGCTGACTAACTATCTAACTGTATATAACTAAAATGCAAGCAAAAGGTATGCGGCACTTGCTCTGTTGTAGTATGGATGAATGGATATGGATATTTGGCCTGGATATAGTGGAGGGAGCCGACGAGCTAATGTTAGTTGGGCAGTTAGCTAGCTAATAATTGGGATGTTGCTGACATGCACCTGACATGCAAGTGTATTCTCCCACTAAAGACATTGAGTGACATGCAAAACGCAAGTATAAAAAAAAAATAATGTAATTTTGACTATTATAAGGAGGTATTATCTCTTGAAAAATTAGTGGGTTATGGATATTACTGTAGTAGTGTGCAAATATGCGGTTTGCAAATACTCTGAAATTAAAGCTGTTGGCTTGCATTTAAATGTTATCTACAATTTTTCTGATTTTATATGCAAGTGTGATCGTGGTCTTTGGCATAGAATGTTTTCGAAAGCAATTCTGTAAGCACGAGACTGGGGGTGCGGTATTTTTTAGGGCTGGGCATGCATCCTTAGATATTTTCGGAAGGAGGGAAGAGACTACAGTAAATATGCAACAAAATGCAGCCAGTCATCACCGAATCAAATAAGCCATGTATTCATGAATTTCACTGTTTCCTCTTGAAGCCTGTCAAAGCTGTTGAATTTGTTTATTGATTCTTATGATCAATGGGACCATGTATGATATCCCCAAGACCTGGAATGGATTTCACTGCAATGCAAATAGTGTCAGTAGTCCAGGATGGATTTGGAGCAACTCCCATTGAGCTGCAATGCAGCAGTGTCAAGGGAGCCTGCTCTGTGAGGCTTGAAACCAATAAGGGATCCCACCCAACATGACGTGTGGCACCACCGTCTTATTGACCATCACTGGGGCGGTGGGGTTTCTTGCGGAGCGAGAAGTCTGTGAAATTAATGGTGAATAAATGCTGCCTGTTACAAAGACCCTGAGCTGATGGGATGGTCATATGCAAGGCTGTTCCACTCAGCAGCCAGTGCAGGAACAGTGTCAGCTTAGGCTACTGAAATGTCAAGTGTGTCATGCGCTTGCACGGCATGGATGAATATGATGAATTAATTCCTTTAGTAAATATTTCTTGTTTTCTTCCGATGATGTCTGTCAGTCCTGCGGTGTGGTGTGTGTTGTAATTGATGGGTATCTGTGTATTGATTTTTCAGGAGCTGGAGGCGATCAAAGCTCGGGTGCGAGAGATGGAGGAGGAAGCGGAAAAGCTGAAGGAGTTGCAGAACGAAGTGGAGAAACAGATGAATCTTAGCCCTCCACCAGGTGAGTTTGTGGGAAGAAAGAGCAATAATGTGCCTCAGAATGTCTCCCAAAAATGACTGTTTGAGAAGACAGAATGATTGTTGTATTTCACGGAAGTTTCCAGAGCAGCTACAAGACAGATTAGTTAATATCAGACCCTTCCAAATCTGTATAAGTTTGTTCTGAAGTTCACCATTTTAAATTTCACTCCTCGTCTCAATTTTGCTCTCTCTAGCCGGTCCCGTCATTATGTCCATCGAGGAGAAAATGGAAGCCGACGCAAGATCTATCTATGTTGGAAACGTAAGGCTTCACCCCCTCTTAACCTCAGATGGTGTTTCTATTTGGGTTGTATGTGGAATTCACCTGGTTAGGCCTATCGGGTTCAAGGTGAATTCTATCATATGATGTGTGTAGCAAAGTTTCAAATTGACATCAATGCATGATTTTCACACTTCTTTGAATGCAAAAACCTAAATTTGGTGTTTGATTCAGTATGCGGAATTGACTAGCCACTCTGTGTGTGTCAGAGGTATCTCACTGTTCTCCCTCTCGGTGGACAGGTTGATTACGGCGCCACGGCGGAGGAGCTAGAAGCTCACTTCCATGGTTGCGGCTCAGTCAACAGAGTCACCATCCTGTGTGACAAGTTCACAGGGCATCCCAAAGGGTAAATGCCTACACCCCCATTCCCTCCATGTGCAGCAGTGCTCTTTCACTTACAGATCTGTGAGCACATGTTTACAGTCTCCACCCTAAAGATGGTGTAGACACTATTTTACTAGCTATACCCTCTCGGCATCCAAGAGGGTAATTGCATACAGTCCATGTGCAGGTTAGCAAAGTAGTGCACTTTTATTCACAGGTACGTAGGTACATTGTCCAAGTCATCTAGATCTGTGTGATCTAGAGTTAAGACTTTCAGCCTCAAGATCATCTACATGTCTATGTTGATCGTCATGTTGTGAATTTTTATGAATTGTGTACATGCAGCACTCTCTTGTAAAAGAGGCCTTGATCTCAATGGGATTTCCCTGTTTAAATACAGGTTACAAAAATAAATACAATTACACACGTTTACCAGAGGACACAAACATATAGATACAGATTAACACACATACTACACACGTTTACCAGAGGACACAAACATATAGATACAGATTAACACACATACTACACACGTTTACCAGAGGACACAAACATATAGATACAGATTAACACACATACTACACACGTTTACCAGAGGACACAAACATATAGATACAGATTAACACACATAATACACACATTTACCAGAGGACACAAACATTCAGACACGTGACAAGATGGCGTATTGAACGCACAGCGATGCGAATCACCTCAAGAAAAAAACGTAATATTCAATATCAGTAAGTTAGACTAAATATTAGCACTTCATATACTTGTGAATGATAACATTCAATCTGGATAATAACACCAAACAAATCATAAGGCTAGAGAAATGTATCGACAAATATTACAACAACAAGCAACACTCAAACATGATGGAGGGTAAACGAGGAGAATCAATCTCCAAGAGAACGTGACTCCTCGACGGATACAGATGATGTATGCTTTTCACCACTGTGACTGGTAAGTGTGGAAAGCGATTTGTTGAAGTCGATAAATGACAAACCTCGGCATACTAGAGTTGGTCAGTTAGGATGTAAACGAGTTGAAGGCGAGTCTTGCAATGAGTGATGAAAAAGCTGCGATTTAATGGAGAAAGATACAAAAAAGCTAAAAGGGACAGTCACTAAGATAGAAACGGACGTTAAGGAACTTAAAAGGGAGAACAACTTTCTGAGAGAAGCCTTACTAGACATACAGACTAGATTGATGAGAGAAAATCTAGTACTTACGGGTATCCAAGAAAAAGGAGAGGTTACCGAAAAAATTGTGAAGGACTTCTTTCTTACAGCGCTTCAAATCCCACTCGACGCTGTCGATAAAATCCAACTCGAACGTGTACACTGTTTCTGACAAAGAGGACAGAGATACAGTGAGGGAAGAAAGTATTTGATCCCCTGCTGATTTTGTATGTTTGCCCACTGACAAAGAAATTATCCGTCTATAATTTTAATGGTAGGTTTATTTGAACAGTGAGAGACGGAATAACAACAAAATAATCCAGAAAAACATGTCAAAAATGTTATAAGTTGATTTGCATTTTAATGAGGGAAATAAGTATTTGACCCCTCTGCAAAACATGACTTAGTACTTGGTGGCAAAACCCTTGTTGGCAATCAGAGGTCAGACGTTTCTTGTAGTTGGCCACCAGGTTTGCACACATCTCAGGAGGGATTTTGTCCCACTCCTCTTTGCAGATCTTCTCCAAGTCATTAAGGTTTCGAGGCTGACGTTTGGCAACTCGAACCTTCAGCTCCCTCCACAGATTTTCTATGGGATTAAGGTCTGGAGACTGGCTAGGCCACTCCAGGACCTTAACGTGCTTCTTCTTGAGCCACTCCTTTGTTGCCTTGGCCGTGTGTTTTGGGTCATTGTCATGCTGGAATACCCATCCACGACCCATTTTCAATGCCCTGGCTGAGTGAAGGAGGTTCTCACCCAAGATTTGATGGTACATGGCCCCGTCCATCGTCCCTTTGATGCAGTGAAGTTGTCCTGTCCCCTTAGCAGGAAAAACACCCCCAAAGCATAATGTTTCCACCTCCATGTTTGACGGTGGGGATGGTGTTCTTGGGGTCATAGGCAGCATTCCTCCTCCTCCAAACACGGCGAGTTGAGTTGATGCCAAAGAGCTCCATTTTGGTCTCATCTGACCACAACACTTTCACCCAGTTCTCCTTTGAATCATTCAGATGTTCATTGGCAAACTTCAGACGGCCCTGTATATGTGCTTTCTTGAGCAGGGGGACCTTGCAGGTGCTGCAGGATTTCAGTCTTTCACGGCGTAGTGTGTTACCAATTGTTTTCTTGGTGACTATGGTCCCAGCTGCCTTGAGATCATTGACAAGATCCTCCCGTGTAGTTCTGGGCTGATTCCTCACCGTTCTCATGATCATTGCAACTCCATGTGGTGAGATCTTGCATGGAGCCCCAGGCCGAGGGAGATTGACAGTTCTTTTGTGTTTCTTCCATTTGCGAATAATCGCACCAACTGTTGTCACCTTCTCACCAAGCTGCTTGGCAATGGTCTTGTAGCCCATTCCAGCCTTGTGTAGGTCTACAATCTTGTCCCTGACATCCTTGGAGAGCTCTTTGGTCTTGGCCATGGTGGAGAGTTTGGAATCTGATTGATTGCTTCTGTGGACAGGTGTCTTTATAAAGGTAACAAGCTGAGATTAGGAGCACTCCCTTTAAGAGTGTGCTGCTAATCTCAGCTCGTTACCTGTATAAAAGACACATGGGAGCCAGAAATCTTTCTGATTGAGAGGGGGTCAAATACTTATTTCCCTCATTAAAATGCAAATCAATTTAAAACTTTTTTGACATGTGTTTTTCTGGATTTTTGTTGTTGTTATTCTGTCTCTCACTGTTCAAATAAACCTACCATTAAAATTATAGACTGATCATGTCTTTGTCAGTGGGCAAACGTACAAAATCAGCAGGGGATCAAATACTTTTTTCCCTCACTGTATGAGTTTCCAATCGTTGCCAAATTTGCTTTCTTTAAGGATAAAGGAATGGTTAAAAGCCTAGGTAAAAGACTTGCTGGCACGAAAATAGGCATGAATGATCAGTTCCCGAGGGAGATTGGGAAAAGAACTTTGCGCCGTTCTGCAATCTTCAAGGAAAATAGATTAAAAGGGAAGCGTGTTGCTGTCGTAGTTGATAAACTGTATATTGACAACCAAATGTTCCACGACACAAAGTAAAGTATACATCTAATCTATTATTTTATTGTCCTGTCATGATGGAAACGGTCCCCAACCCTATATCCTAGACACCCACCTGAGCAACCCATACACCAAAGAGAAGTCCCCATCTGTTTTATGGCCCAGCTGTAAGTTACCTATATGCAGCCAAAATAGAAAGATAAATTCAGTCAGAGACCTACTAGAGCAGCACCGCCCCCTAAAGATTCTGAGCCTGCCTGGCAGGGTTGGTCCAACAAAGCCAGAGCCCCCTGATGGGAGAGCATAATATACAAGGAAGTTCTCAAAGCTGCTAATGAGAACCTTGTCGACCTTGTACCTAGCCGGTGGGGATTCCGGTGGGGTACCCCCACCCAGGTAGTGGCAGTGCTGGCAACACTGGCTGCAGTAACCCATGGGGAGGGGGTCACACTCGGACAATCAGAGAGGGGGCATATTATTGTGGCCCTTGTGGCACAAAATAATCAAAGGTCTGACTGCTCGGAGATGCTTGGAAAAATGGTTACAACGGGGGACCAGAGTGTTTGTGTCTCAGGGGAAGAGGGTGGATCTGATCTCCATCTCCTAGGACTTGACATAGGTTAATCAAATCGCACATTTTTGTAAATTTTTGCTCAATCTTGCATGCTTTCTTAAACAGCTGTAACTGTATATGCATTTGTAAATCAGGTCCTTTCTTGAGTTGGGCTCTGGGATGTAACAACCGTTGAGCATCTGAGCTTATGGTTGATTGTAGAGGAAAGGGGTTGAGTGTATTAGAGTATGTGCGTGTGTATGTATCCCACATCTGTTGCAAGGGGGTAAGGATGTTAGGGAGAATATAGGATGGACCACAATAATTGTTTGCTAAAATAAGAATTGCTTGATAAAAATGTAATGTAATACAATGGCAATCCGGGTTATAGGTAACAATACTTCGCATGAACTGCCGACATTATTACGCATATTAATTGATAATGATGGAAATTAAGATATGCAAGATATTTGAATAGATATTTTTTAAATAGCTATATAAATATATTGAGGTGAGAGCATTGGAAATGCTTTTGGTGTTTGACCTGCTTCTGTTTTGTGGGTGGCACAGTGTGCTGTTTTCGAAGGATGGGTCCTGGCCTCTCGGGGGGGCCTAGGGATCCAGGGGACGGGGGTGGTATGCCGATCACTGGGATGAAACCCAACTTGGGATGGGGAGGGGCTTTAGCGGGGGGAATAGTGGCAAACAATTGGAGGGTTACTTAGTAGAAATGCAAATATCATGGTACAGCTATATGGACACTCAATCACTGGTTTTATTGGTAAATTTACAAACATATATTATGATAAATAGATTTGAAACCTGTATCTCATTATGGTAAGTGGTGAAATAAGTATAGCCAGTTATAATTGTAATTGCTTAGCAGATAATAACAAAAGAAGAACAATATTTACATGTTTCAAAGATAAGTAATATAATATATATTGTTTACAGGAAACTCAACAATTCTAGATGAAGTTGTGTGGAAAAAGGACTGGGGGGGCGAAATATACTTCTCCCATGGGCAAAGAAACTCAAAAGTGGTGATGATATTAATTGACCGTAATTTCGATCCAAATGTGCAAATTGTCCAAACAGATCCGCAAGGTAGATGGATGATTTAAAATACAGTGGGGAGAACAAGTATTTGATACACTGCCGATTTTGCAGGTTTTCCTACTTACAAAGCATGTAGAGGTCTGTAATTTTTATCATAGGTACACTTGAACTGTGAGAGACGGAATCTAAAACAAAAATCCAGAAAATCACATTGTATGATTTTTAAGTAATTAATTTGCATTTT